GTAGCATCCTGATTTTTCATTTAGGGGTATGAAATTTAGAGACATGGTAGCTCATACACAGGAAACTAACCCTGCCAAATTCCAGATGGGTTGCACTGGGGACTTTTGTGTTAGCCACCCTTAACATTTGCTTTCTCCAGAAATGATTTTCTGTTATTTATACTCGCTTATTGAATTTTCCAAAAAGAAATAAATGCAGCCAAACAATACAAACTTAATCATAACTTTTTAAAAAGTGTCTGATATGTAGAAGTAAGGGGGAGGAGTGAGAGCAGGGCGAATAGTTGGTGGTCCAGACAAACTAGATCTATATAAAGCAGGCATGTCCAAAGTCCATTTCGGGGGGTAAAATCCTAAAAAAAGCTCAACGACTTTGGTTGGTCCTTTGGTTGGCCCCCATGGCCCTTCACTACATCAAATCTGGCCTTCTTTGAAAGAAGTTTGGACACCACCGAAAAAGAGTCCATATATCAGAGAACTTCCCATCTTTCTTGTGTTTATGGAAAGTCATCTTATCATATGCTGACAGTTGAATCATGTCATCTGTTCATTGTGTGGTCAGGATGGTGGTGGTAGACTTATCTTTTCAGTATTGAAACATTAGATCATGGGTAGGCAAACTAAGGCCCAGGGGCCGGATCTGGCCCAATCGCCTTCTAAATCCGGCCCATGGACAGTCTGGGAATCAGTGTGTTTTTACATGAGTAGAATGTGTCCTTTTATTTAAAATGCATCTCTGGGTTATTTGTGGGGCCTGCCTGGTGTTTTTACATGAGTAGAATGTGTGCTTTTATTTAAAATGCATCTCTGGGTTATTTGTGGGGCATAGGAATTCGTTCATTTTCCCCCCTTCAAAATATAGTCCAGCCCACCACATGGTCTGAGAGATGGTGGACCGGCCCATGGCTGAAAAAGGTTGCTGATCCCTGTGCTAGATTGCTTTAAATGCCAACATCCTTCAGCCCAGGGAGAGCAAGTTGTGGTGTACTTCAGGCATTGGACTACAACTTCCATCACCCCCCCCCCATATAGTCTGGCTCCCCACAAGGTCTGAGGGACAGTGGATTGGCCCCCTGCTGAAAAAGTTTGCTGATCCCCACATTTGATGTTTAGCCACTATGAATATCTTCAGAAACAAGTTAAATTGCCCTTCTGACAGGTTCCAAAGGACTAGTATCTGATAAGATAAGATCTCATGAAACCATATTGATGTGGCTGATGACCTCTGACTTCAGCACAGGACTAAATAACAGCATTTGTCAGTGCTAGTTGATTTTTTCCTAGAAAGACAGTGTGGAGACCAAGAAACTCTGAATACAATTGGGTATCAAACCCAAGATAATATCTGTGAAAATCAGCCTGAGAGAGGCCAATGTTTTTTCCATTGCGATATGTGAACCGGATGCTCATTCTACCCTGAGTCCCTCCACATCTGGTTTAGACTTGTCTCTTAGGGTTTGGTAAAGACATATTACTGGCTTAGGATGTTGTTCAGAAGCCTTTATGTCATCCAAGAATGCAGGGATTTCAAAGGCACTTAGTGCTTCAGGGCCAAAGTAGGCAACAGATGTTTAAATTGCAAATATTGCCAGTTTGCACCTGACGGGAGAGAGTGTACTCCCATCAGATTAGAAAAGGGGAGAAATTTGTTATTTCCCCCCAATCAGTCCGTTTCCCCCAAAGAAAGGTTCCCCACTAATTTTTTAGTTTAGGGTCACACCAGAGAGTCTGTTTACCAGGCATATGTGAATCAAAGCACAATTTCTGAGCCAACCTGCTCTATGTCTCACAAGCTAGTCAAGAAAATCACAGCACCTTCCAGGTAAACACAGACAAGCTTCCTGGTGAGAGTAATAGAGTGGGTGGGAAGCAAAATAGTGAAAAAGTATAAAGTCAGAGTAGAGAGGAATGATGTGACCAAGAAGAAAAGCAGCCAGCTGGAGAGAGGGTCAGAGAGCAATTTTTGATGTTTGTTTGACTTCAATGCTGCGGTTATGGGAGAAACAAGACCCTTTTGAGGGTGCTGATGTTGTGAGCCCCTCCATCATAGCCTCACGTTGTAGATATGTGCAGATCAACCATATATCCTAAAGACACCACAGTCTCCATTTCCAAAAGGAAACATGAACCCTGGGTGAGTGCTTGCAACCTCACACCACTTGGAGATTGAGAGAGGCAGGTGATGGAAGACCATTTCAGAGCCTGCCTGGTGTCAACTATCTCCTCCATCCACTAGGACATGCTACCACCAACTGCCCTGTGGGAAGAATCCAATGACATTTTCATCACCTTGCCAACAAAGGTCCGTATAGTTAAAGCTATGGTTTTCCCAGTAGTGATGTATGAAAGGGAGAGCTGGATCATAAAGAAGACTGATCGCTGAAGAATTGATGCTTTTGAATTATGGTGCTGGAGGAGACTCTTGAGAGTCCCGTGGACTGCAAGAAGATCAAACCTATCCATTCTGAAGGAAATCAGCCCTGAGTGCTCATTGGAAAGACAGATCCTGAAGCTGAAGCTCCAATATTTTGGCCACCTCATGAGAAGAGAAGACTCCCTGGGAAAGACCCTGATGTTGGGAAAGATGGAGGGCACAAGGAGAAGGGGACGACAGAGGACGAGATGGTTGGACAGTGTTCTCGAAGCTACCAGCATGAGTTTGACCAAACTGCAGGAGGCAGTGGAAGACAGGAGGGCCTGGCGTGCTCTGGTCCAGGGGGTCACGAAGAGTCGGACACGACTAAACGACTAAACAACAACAATTGTTTGTTGGATCTCACTCACTCACTCACTCACTCACTCACTCACTCACTCACTCACCTTTAAGCTGCCTTGGAAAGATTAGTATCACAAAAGGCCAGATAGAAATAATTGTAATAAATAAATGTGAGTTTTAAGGATAATTCTGCTCTCTCTTTCTGCCTCTGGGTCATGGTTCTTTCCTTCAAGGAGCTGCCTTTCTGAACATTTGATAGACTGAATAAACATGTCGGTTAACCTCCAATTTAGAAATGCTCATTCCTTTTCCTAAGCAAGAACTCTGCTGCGTCTCAGTTGCTTCCTTTTGTCTTCATAAGGGTGGCTGCCTGGAAAGTGTTTTGGATTTCCGTGGGTGGAATATCCCATCAGGCAACAGAGCTGTTGATGGCATTTACTGTTGGAGTTACCTTCTCTTATGCCTTTTGGCTACGATACATTTCCAAACAAATCCTACTGTGATAGGATTCAAAAATGCAGAGTCGCCCACTTACTAATCCACTAGGGTGATGTGTTTCAGTTGAGATTTTGTCTCCAACTCAACCTGGAAGCTATCTGAAAGATCCCATGTAGCTGTAGAGTGAGTGGCTCAGAAGTCTTGCTTTTAGAGAACTGAACTGTAACTATGGTTTTGATGGGAAGGTTATAGTAAGATAAATATTTAAAAAGAAGTAGATGCTTCCATTTGTGGGAAGAAATATTTCCCATATCAATCCTCTTCTTTGTTCTCTGGTGAAATGGGGGGGGGAACCTACATCTTATTTGTGTGCAACGGAACAGGTTGGGTTGTCTCTGCACTGCTGTAGTAAAAATAACAGGATTAAACAGGGTCTGATTAATTTTAGGACTTTAAATTCTGCTCCTCATTCACCCCCGCCAACCTGAAAAGTGATTTGTGAAATAACAAAGTATTATAGTCAAGATCTTCTGATCGTTGCCCTTTAAAGTCTCTTTCTCACATGGCCGGGCTTCACAAAAAGCTATTTTACTAGAAGAAATTAGATTTCTGGTTAGTAGGAGCCCTAAATAGACATGAATTACAAGAACGTCCTTTGAAAACTCCATCCAGCACTTTGTTTCATTAAATCCCATGAAGCGACCTTAATTTAGTGGAACACTGAATGGGTTGTTCTTTTAACCTATTAGCACTTTGGCCAGTGCCATAAAGCATATTCATGGATGATTCCATCAAGAAGGACAACAGTGGGATTAATATTATTTCAGGATACAGTAAATGCCACAATGATGAAGCTGTTTAAGATCTGGTGCTCACTGTGTCACACTGAATGCGTTGACATTTACTCTGCTATCATTTCATTTCCAATGCTCCTTCCAAATCAGCCAGTGCTAATGCTTCCACATGCGAGTGTATATTGGCCTGGAATAGAGCACCTCAAGGCGGAAGAGAGGGAGGGATAAGCTTCCTCTGGAGACTTTGGCCTTTGCTCACTACGGAAACATCACAAAGCCTTTGTGCTCCCCACATTTTAAACAGCCCCATCGCATCTCCTGAAAGGAAGCTCTGTTCACACGTTCATCTGGATATGTGTGTCCTTGAAATGTTTAATGATGGACAAGCACACAGTTAAGGACCCAAATAAGTGCTTCCTATAAATCAGAGGTAACCACTGTGGTCACCTCTCCAGATGTTGGTGGATGACAATCTCCACCGCTTGTGATCATTGGCCACACTGGCAGAGGCTGGTGGGAGTTCTAGTCTGTGGCTAAAATCCTATCATTTAGGAGTTAGGTATAATTTTCGGCTACCTCATGAACCAATGCATGGAACTCCATCTTCTTAAATGTGATTAATTTTTTAAATAAATGACTGCAACATTCCAGAGTGGTTTACAAAATGTTGGGGAGCTGGTTTGGCGTTTTATAAAGATTTATGAAATATAATAAGACCACAGCCAACAACATATCTTGAAAAGCCTGAAGTAAGAGAGATGGGTGCCCTCTGAGCTTTCTTAGAAGAGCTCCAGAAATGTTTCTACCTTGGGTGACATCTTGCCTTGCCACAGACCTGCAGGGACCTCAGATGGGGATCTTATGAACTTGGGTTAACCAGGCCACTTAGGTCTTTGAAAGGTTAAAACCAGCGCCTTGAATTGATGGCTGCTCTGCTTCATGTGTAGTGATGTATAGAAGCGAGAGCTGGACCACAAAGAAGGCTGATCGCCGAAGAATTGATGCTTTTGAATTATGGTGTTGGAGGAGATTCTGGAGAGTCCCATGGACTTCAAGAAGATCAAACCTATCCATTCTGAAGGAAATCAGCCCTGAGTGCTCACTGGAAGGACAGATCCTGAAGCTGAGGCTCTAAGACTTTGGCCACCTCATGAGAAAAGAAGACTCCCTGGAAAAGACCCTGGTGTTGGGAAAGATTGAGGGCACAAGGAGAAGGGGACGACAGAGGACGAGGTGGCTGGACAGTGTTCTCGAAGCTACCAGCATGAGTTTGACCAAACTGTGGGAGGCAGTGGAAGACAGAAGTGCCTGGCGTGCTCTGGTCCATTGGGTCACAAAGAGTCGGACACGACTAAACGACTAAACAACAACAACAACAACTGCTTCATGTGACTGCACTCTATTGAAGGGCGTTGCTTTTGAAACCATGCATGGAGATAATGAAAGTCCATTCAACACATGTGTTGTAGTCACCAAGTGATAAACTGCAGGTGTGAACCAGTCCAAACGCCATCGAGTTTTTGGGTTTGTTTTTTTTAAAATTTGCCTGTAGCTTAGAGAAAAGCAGGCAATGAGGTGTTAAAAATCTATTCTAGTCAATGAGAACGTTGCCATATATGTCAGTGGAGTCAAGTCCCCCCCCCCCCCCGAACAAGTTGCATATTGATTTAATTGAATTTTGGAAAGAAGTTGTGTTCTGACTTGCACACTGCAAGTGATTGATTTCTTAAGCTCTGATCTTTTAAAGCACTTGTGCTATTGGCATGTGTTTTGAGGGCCAAGCTTTCAGATTCCACCCACCCTCAGCCCGTGATGTGATATTTGCATTGTTGTAGTACCAGTTTTCTTTCATGCTATATCAACTCAATCATCATTGAGCCGAGGCAGCCTCTTTTAAAATAAACATCCCCAAACTATTCCACCAGGCCACTTAATTCATGTTTGAAATGCTAGAACCTCTTAAGCAGATGTCAGAATTTGACGCTGGCTTCCCCCTAAAAAGCGTGAGTCACAAAAATCCTGTCACAGAGTGTCTTTTGGGAGATGGGTGTTGGGTTTTCTTTCGTTCTTTTTTATTAAAAAAAAAAAACCATTTCCCAAGGTGATCTTCCAGCCTTACCGAGGTGGTGAAAAATGGTTTTGAGAGCCAAACAAAAGCCTTTGTTGCCTTTTCAAGACTTCTAATGCAGCCAATGACTCTTTGACAAGTCTGTGAGTGGGGCCTTTGCAAGGCTGTGAAGGAAGGTGCGCTATCCCAAGGCAGAGCATTGGTCCTTCTAGCTCACTGCTGTCCACACTACAGGTGGGGAACCTCAGGTCTTGGGGCCATATGTGGTCCTCTAAGCTGCTGCATCTGGCTTCCAGGGCCAAGCCACACCCCCTGAGCACTTTTGCCTGGATGGCATGTGCCATTGAACTCAGTTAATGGCTCTTGCTTGCCTGGACAGAGGATAGAGAGGGATGTGTGGGTGTCTGTAGAAACTATCCTGCTGTAAAGGTAAAGGGAACCCTGACCATTAGGTCCAGTCGTGGCCGATTCTGGGATTGCGGCGCTCCTCTCACTTTACTGGCCGAGGGAGCCAGCATACAGCTTCCGGGTTATGTGGCCAGCATGACTAAGCCGCTTCTGGTGAAGCAGAGCAGCGCACGGAAATGCCATTTACCTTCCCGCTGGAGCGGTACCTATTTATCTACTTGTACTTTGACGTGCTTTCGAACTGCTAGGTGGGCAGGAGCAGGGACCGAGCAACGGGAGCTCACCCTGTTGCAGGGATTCGAACCGCCGACCTTCTGATAGGCAAGTCCTAGGCTCTGTGGTTTAACCCACAGTGCCACCCGCGTCCCTAATCCTACTGTACAAGGATACATTTACATTTGTTTCTCCACTCACGTTGGCTCCAGCAAGTTCTAAACAGCCAAACGTGTTGTCCTAGTCACTGGACATCCCAACAGGAGCAGCTGCAGCCAGTACTCTCTCTTTGAGAGAAATTGTGATTCCACACAGTGGCAGACTTGGGGTTTTCAAATTTCAGCGGCGCTTTCTGCAATGCCAAAATTTGCGATCCGCTACATCTCGCCTTCCGTTCATTATTGCCATGCCCTCTGCGGTGCCCTGTAGGCTTGGCACCCAGTGATGGTGAACCCAGTGGCGAAGCTGAATGCTCCGGCACCGGGGGCAGAGAGCAGGTGGGGGCATGGCTGGTGTGCGTCCTGGGGGGCGTGGCATGCTATCTGGGGGCGTGGCGCCCGGCACGGTAGGTGCATGGCACGTGTCTGGGCCCCCCCCCGCGATGGTACCCCCCTCCCCGATGGTGCCCGGGGGTGGTGCGCTTCCTTTGCCCCCTGTTCCTCCGCCAGTGGGTGAACTGGTTGCACTCCCCTAAATTTGCCTCTGCTTCCCAATGGGAATGGAAAGATCTGCCCATTTCAATTCTCTCAGTTTTCCTACTTCACAATACATCATGTCATTCCCACAACTACCATATTTTTTGCTCTATAAGATGCACTTTTTCCCTCCTAAAAAGTAAGAGGAAATGTGTGTGCGTCTTATGGAGCGAATGCAGGCTGCGCAGCTATCGCTGAAGCCAGAGCAGCGAGAGGGATCGTTGCGCACCGATCTCTCTTGCTGTTCTGGCTTCTGGGATTCAGAATATATTTTTTTCTTGTTTTCCTCCTCCAAAAACTAGATGCGTCTTATGGTCGGGTGCGAAAAAAGAGCAAAAAATACGGTAAGTCATAAGAATGCTTAGGGCAGGGAAAGGAGAGGAAAAGAGCGATGTGTTCATTTCCTTGTTGACATCCTTCTGAATTAACACTTGGGCGGGGGGAACCACTCTAAGACGTTTCTTTCCTTGAGGTCAAGGTAGCAAAGCAGAGAAGCTGAGGGAGGTGGAAAGGTGGGTGGATGAGGCCTTTGGCAATGATATAGCCGTGTCCCACGGCTCCCCTTCTAGTCCAGTGTCCTGTTCTCACAGTGGCCAGCCAGATGTCTCTGGGAAGCCTAAAAGCGAACCTCAACACAAGACCAATCACCTGCAGTTTCCCATGGGACAATTAGTCTAATCCAGCAGCCTCTTCTTGTGTTCTTAGAGACATAGGCTGTACTACACAAACAAGAACCCGTCACATCCTGCTTTCAGTTATTTCCCTTCCATTGTCCCCATCAACATGGTTATAGGACAGCAGTAACATTATCTTCTGGTGTGCATCTTAGTAATAAAGGGGTGCTGTGAGTATCCCATAATAGATGAGACAGTAAGGACAACCGTCAGGCTAGCTGCCGAATAGATGCAAGTTCCTCCAATGTAATAAATGTTTGTATGTTATTTTCATTTACAGTGGTACTTCAGGTTACATTCGCTTCAGGTTACATACACTTCAGGTTACAGACTCCGCTAACCCAGAAATATTGCTTCAGGTTAAGAACTTTGCTTCAGGATGAGAACAGAAATTGTGCTCCGGCAGTGCGGCAGCAGCAGGAGGCCCCATTAGCTAAAGTGGTGCTTCAGGTTAAGAACAGTTTCAGGTTAAGTACGGCCCTCCGGAATGAATTAAGTACTTAACTCGAGGTACCACTGTACATGCATTTTTATCCTTTCCCATGATATGTGCATTTAGTTGGAAAACTGTACGCCAACATTCAGAGAAGTGCAATTTTCAAAGGACAGCTTTGTTGTGGTTGCCATGTTGTTTTACAAAGATTTTGTTCTTACGGTCTGATCAGTGTTATAGAGGTTTTAACAACCTCCCATTCTGGCAGTTTGAAAGAAAGAATAACCTTGCAAACAGACCTGCATCCCTTGTGGTTTTCGGAAGGCATAGAATCCCATGCATAACGCAGGTTACCCCTTTGCAATGACAGTAAATTGTACTTAATGCAGCTGGGTAACTTCAGTGTGAATGTGCTTCAGCTCTGCCCGTCAGAAAGCACCATTCAATTTACTATCTCAGCTCTCGGAGGATTGGCCCCTTTGCCAGGTTGCGTTGCATGTATTTGTATGCCTCGTTTCTCAGCATCAACTGAGTCTGAGCAGAACAATATGACATTTGCAAGCAAGCTTCCTGATATAAGAACCTCTTCATCTTGCTGATGGGTTTTTTGTTACCTCCATGTCGTCATGAACGCAGCAGATCCCGTCTGCATTTTTTGTGCTTTAAAAAAAAAATCCACTGTGGTTGGAAAGCCCATGACGGCCGTTTCCTTTGTCTTCACAGATGTGCATAGATATATACAGTGAGATGGAATGCTTTTCCTTGTCAGGCAGCCAGCCTGCCCAGCTGGGGCAGTGTCAGATTGCAGCTGGCATGAAGACATTGTGCTCATATCAGCGGCAATCTGAAGAATTGCATCCAGGTCTTGTATACCATTATTTGCATGTCCTAGGGATGTTAGAAGAGCTGAGCTCAGTTGCATGGGACCATAAAGCATCTTGACTTTATCATAATCCTTGTCTCCAATTAATAGGACGTTTACCTTTTAACCTGCAAAAAGAAGAAAAAGTCCTGCTCACCTCAGTACTTTGGCTGGCCATGATATGTATAAGACAAGGAGATTCACATCAGCTGAGCAGGGAATATGGTTTCCCAGGATATATTGGCTCGAGGCTGTTAATCACCTTCTCCTGGGGAGAGGTGATGTGACAAATAAATTAGGAACATGACTCCACGGCCACAAAGCTTGTGGGTTCATGTACTGCTTGTTCTTGCGCTGGGAGCTGACTCCAGGGCTGGAGACAGATGGAGGTAATATTACAAAGGCATTGTTACCCTTCATCAGATACATCCTGATGTTGTCGCTGCTACACTGATTTTGCAGTTTTTGCAGTGTTTCAAAAACCCGAAAAACCTGTTTAACTGGGGGTAAGAATGACACAGAAGTATTGTGCATTGGCTTTTGATCGTTTGCATTTGGTTTGGGCAAGTACTCTTTGGTGAGTGAGCCCCAGCAGAGATTTAAAATCAGAAAACATGCTGCAAAGTAAAGTGTGGAAATATAGGCTGTTAGACCTTTAAAATATTCCCTTCTAAGTTGCTTCCAAAGTTTCCCACTTCCTTTAGCATAGAAAGAGACCACATGGTTGGTAAGTTAAAATGGTTTACTTACAAAAGTTTAGATTCATTTGGTTTTCCATATAGCAGCAAGAAAGACAGGCAGTGTAACTTAGTTTCAAAAAGGTAAGGGTTTCTAAATTATTTGTATAGAAACACAAATATGGCTTGCTAAAGCTATATGGTCTAAGCTTGAATCATCCACCTTAGACCTTCTTACTGGTTGAATTCACATGGTGGAAAAAGAGAGAACTGAGTTTGGTGACCCTTCCTCCCAAGGTGAGGGTGTGTGACCTAGCTAGGCCTGGAAGGACAGCTCACTCTATGGTCTTATATCGTCATGTATTAATTAGAGTTATGCATGTTGGTTATAATGGGACGCGGGTGGCGCTGTGGGTAAAACCTCAGTGCCTAGGGCTTGCCGATCGCATGGTCGGCGGTTCGAATCCCCGCGGCGGGGTGAGCTCCCGTCTTTCAGTCCCAGCTCCTGCCCACCTAGCAGTTCGAAAGCACGCTTAAGTGCAAGTAGATAAATAGGTACTGCTTTATAGCGGGAAGGTAAACGGCGTTTCCGTGTGCTGCGCTGGTGCTGGCTCGCCAGAGCAGCTCGTCACGCTGGCCACGTGACCCGGAAGTGTCTCCGGACAGCGCTGGCCCCCGGCCTCTTAAGTGAGATGGGCGCACAACCCTAGAGTCGGACACGACTGGCCCGTACGGGCAGGGGTACCTTTACCTTTACCTTTATGTTGGTTATATGAGGCTGGATATATCCCACAAAGTGTGCATAAACCAAGGACATCCATAATTGTATTACTCTGTTTTTATCCCTCTGTCTTGAAAATTGTTGTTAGTCGATAGTGCAATTCACCAGCTCCATATGAGATGTTCAGGGTATTATTAAAGATACAGTGATGAAGTCTGATAAGGTGATATAAGTGGGGCCAAGAGAAAGTACAAAAGGAGATAATCTTTAGGTATAATTTTTAGGCTCTCCAGTTGGCTGAAGATTCCTCAGAAGTTTGAGGACCAAAGCCTCTTCCAGATGACCTATTTTGTTGAGCATTCGTCCGGATTTGATTGCATATAGCTTCACATGGAGGTTAGACTATGGCCAAACATTACTGAGCAGTTCTGATCTATTTGTGGAGAAGTTATACACCAATGAGCATTCATCTTGCTTTGTTCTTCCTAATTTATTTTTGGGGGTATACATCTTCCCAGTTAATGACCCTTCAAGGCATTTTCCTTTCAGCAGGAAGTTACAGGAAATACACTGATTGGAATTGAAGTGACATGTCCACCTTGAAACTGTTACAAGCACAAATGTTACTGTGCAGTAATCACAAGTAGATTACGTGCATATCTTGGCCAATGTTAAGATGCATAGAAGCACCTCTGGCCAACCAGGGCTGGCACCTGAAGCACATCTGGAAACAGCACATTAGCTGTAGCATTGCGGCTATTATTCTGTGGCACTTTCCATCCCCTGGAGCAGGCATGAGGAACCTGTGGCCCTCCAGGTGTTGTTGAACTCCAGCTGCAACCCAGCCCAACATGCTGGTTGGACCTGATGGAACTGGAGTTCAGAAACATCTGGAGGGATGCTGATTCCCTACCCTGTCCTGGTGCCCTCTATAAACTTTTATTTCTGGGACTTTCCACAGCATCTCCCTCACGACCCAATTTCTTTGAAAAGATTGGCTCTTTGTGGAAATTGTGTCTTCGGCACCTAACTAAAGGCAAACCATAAATAATGAAAACCTACAAAAAAGGGAAAATCAAAATTAAATGTTCGCTTTGCTTTACAAAACAATCACCTGTCAGATTCTTGTTTGCTGATGAGCAAGCCATAGAGCTTTTAATACTCTGGAGAGTTTAAAAGTGGTCTATTTTATTGAGTAATTTAATGACAGACCTAGCTGAACAAGCACAGTAATTATCTCTAAGAGACTCAAGAGGGTAATTTTTAAAGGGGGAAAATACAGAGGGGGGAAAAACTGATTTCAACAGATCAGGAGTTGTCAGACCGTTAAAGTTCATTGCAGCAGCCATCTGCATTACCTAATATTACATTAATTCTTTAAGGACAAAGTGATCAAGAATGGCATGCCATGCCCAAGGCTGCACAGTGTGTCAGGTTTGGGATGTATCTGTGCTGCCCATCTGTGTGGACCAGCACTGGGAAACTGCTGGCATGTGGGCATAATTGGGCCTGGTCAGAGGTCCCTTCAAACCATGTACATTGGCCCCACGCTTGACATCATGTGTGATGGTAAAAGAAGCATGAGCCTGACCATTGCTTGACATGTGGGGCTTACTGACAGCACCAATCAGGGCGGAGGGTGGTCACTTTGAACTCACAATGGCATCAGGTGATTGACAGGTGGGTGGCCCTCCCTATATGTCAAAGTTGGCCTGCAGGGGCCTGTGGTGTAGACAATACACACAGATCTACCTCTCCTTTACATCTTCAGGTGTGGCAGTGGATGTGCTGGACTGTTGTCTTGCCTTAGTAATGGACTAGATGAGAGCCAACAAACTGAAGCTCAATCCATATATGGCTGTGGCACCATTAGTGGGTCATTCCCTAGATTGGATGGCTGGGAGATTTCCTGCTCTTGATAGGGTTACACAACCTTCTGAAGGAGCAAGTATGTAGTTTGTGGATACTTCTGGATCCATTGCTGTCGCTGGAGGCTCAGGTGGCCTTGGTGGTGTGGAGTGTCATCAGCTTTGGCTGGTGACCCACCTGTGTCCCTATTTAGACAGGGATAGGCTGACTTCTGTTGTCTATGCTCTGGCAACCTCTTGGTTAGATTACTGCAGTGATGGCCAAACTTGGCTCTCCAGCTGTTTTGGGACTACAGTTCCCACCATCCCTGACCACTGGTCCTGTTAGCTAGGGATGATGGCAGTTGTAGTCCCAAAACAGCTGGAGGGCCAAGTTTGGCCATCACTGGATTACTACAGTGTGTCAAACATGGGGCTGCCTCTGAAGATGGTTTGGAAACTTCAGCTGGAGCAGAAATCAGTGGCCAGGTTGCTCACTGGGGCAAAACGATTTGTGCATATTACACTGACCCTGGCCCAACCTCTCCGCTTGCCAATTAATTTCCGGGCCCAATTCAGAGTGCTGGTTTTGACCTATAAAGCCTTAAATAGCTCAAGACCACAATACCTCAAAGACCACCTTTCTCCATATGAACCCACCTGGACCATGCGATCATCACCTGAGGTCCTTTTTCATGTGCCTCCTCCACAAAGGACGTGGGTGGCGCTGTGGGTTAAACCACAGAGCCTAGGGCTTGCTGATCAGAAGGTCGGCGGTTCGAAACCCCACGATGGCGTGAGCTCCCGTTGCTCGGTCCCTGCTCCTGCCCACCTAGCAGTTCGAAAGCACGTCAAAGTGCAAGTAGATAAATAGGTACTGCTCTGGTGGGAAGGTAAACGGCGTTTCCATGCGCTGCTCTGGTTCGCCAGAAGCGGCTTAGTCATGCTGGCCACATGACCCGGAACCTGTACGCCGGCTCCCTCGGCCAATAAAGCGAGATGAGTGCCGCAACCCCAGAGTCGGTCACGACTGGACCTAATGGTCAGGGGCCCCTTTACCTTTGCCTCCACAAGAGGTCCAGAGGACACCAACACAAAAAGGGCCTTTTCTGCAATGGCTCCCTGTTTGTGGCATGCTCTACCAAGGGAGGCTTACCTGGCACCATCATTTTATATCTTTAGGCACCAGGTAAAAACTTTCCTCTATAACCAGGCCTTTGGTCCCTTAACTAACTTTTAGAAGTGGGTGGGATGTTTTTAATGTATTTTGCCCCCACTCCAGGTTTTGAAGCATCTGTGTGGAGTTCTTGTTTGTTTGTAATTTGCTTTGGGCAGGATAAAGCAACAAACAAATTTAATGAATTAAAATAACAGCACTCTTTATCAACCATTCTAAAGCCAGTGAGGGAATGAAGGCCACGAATGTGGAAGCAGCTGGTTCTGCAGGGCCAGGGTGCTATCCTGGTAGGTCACGGCTGTGGTGGCAAACTATCCCCAGATCTTCAAAGCTTGCATTATGACACAGCTTATTTCTTTGTCCATATTAGAGGAAGGCTACAGATGGTCCATTGCTTTGGACAATGAAGCTGTACATGTTCAGTAGCCTAATGCTCTTCAGGTGATCAGCTGTTGATGCTTCAGGCTGTGTGCATTGACCTTCGGTCCATCTTTATATCTCTCCAATTACTTTATTCAATGAAACTCTTCATTTTTTAAAAAAAATTCTCAGAGATTGAGTGCATATTTGCTCAAACTAATGTGCTGTAGAATAATCTACCAGTCCCTACTTCTTCAATGGTGACAGCTGACTCTCAATATGGATCAATACAACCAGCAAATCACCTTATATTTTTCATTTAAGCTCAATGCTACAAAAATGTTTGGTTGGTGTTAGCAAGAAAGAAGGAAGCGCTGTTGAGACTGATGCCACCATGCACCCTGTTTTTGTTGCGAAAAGGACTTGGGCTACATTTTTATGAGCCATGAAAGTGATTCTGCTAGTTACATCAACTTTAATGCTACGTTCATATACAAAACCTGGTAAGGCATAGCCAGCGGCGGATGGTTGTTTGTTTTGAAAATGTAAAACTCCTTTTAAATTTTAAACAACAAAGGCAGTCGTGGAATCACAACAGAAAAGATTTGCACTGTCCATTATATACAGAAAATTTATCCGGACATGCTTAACAAGATATTACAAACTGCTGCAGGCAAAATACTTAAGCAGTGTAACCTTGCTGCTGTTACACACCACCTCATTAGGTGCTGGGCACAGGATATTGGAAGAAGGATCCTGAGGTACAACCTCTCCTTTCATTGTTTTCTAAAAAGCCTTTCAGATTTAGCCTGCTGAGATGCAGTGCTCCATCAGCATTTTAGGACCATCTGCTTTAAAATGAGCCAATCAGCTCTGAGGAGCAGCTGCTATTTTTGTATGTCATTTGGTCTCGGAAAGCCTGTTTGTGCGAGAGCCAAGGTCCACATGAGCTCCTTGCCAGAGTACAGGGGAAGCGTCGCAGGCAAACAGAACCCGGAATGCACTTTTCCCCGCACGGAAAAATCTCCTCCATGATGACACGGTCCCTTCATCCCCTAGATTTACACATCATTAGAAACCTAAACCTGCTCCCAACTTTTCAGGAGCTCGTTAGCTCATGTGGCAGAGAAAACGGACCCCTGCCTGGCAAGCTTAAAAAGCGATCTGCGCAGCTCTGTGCAAGCAAGTCCTGCTTTTCCCGACGCAGGGAAAATATATATTCTGGGCTTTGCTCAGAACAGGGGATTGAAGAGCAATATGATGACGAAAAAAATAAGGAAATAAAAATATATGTCTTGTCTCACAGAAACACAGAGGCCTGGACGCAATGTGAACTAAAGCTAAGAATGAGGAGAAAAATAGTATAGTATAGTATTCTTTGAGAGGAAATTGATGCTGCATAGTATTTTGGAATCAACATTTTCCCCAGTTCAACTAATTTAATTGTTTAATTAGCAATCCCAGCAGGATGCTGTTGAAGTGGTTTTAATGAGAAAATAAAGGGCTCAATTAAAGATAAAGATTTGGCTCAATTAAGGAGACTGGTCTGCCTCACACTTAGGCTAGATCTGAAGGATGTGGAGAATGCCATGGCATCAGCACTTGGAAAGAGGAACAAGCTGCAGAGCCAAATTCTGTTTTCCTTTCAGAGCTCTGATTTTTAGTTGAAAAATATATGGCAGGTCTGCAGATTGTGACTGCCTCAAGGAAAATAAAATAAAGAACACCGATGCCTATAGGAAGTCTGCAAGCAGGAAATGAGCTCAAGAGCACTTTGCTGCTCAGGGTCCATAGAAATTGGTACTCGGAGGCCTACTGTTTTGGTTCCAAAACCAAAGCGTTCCAAAACCAAGGCACGCTTTCTCATAGAAAGCAATGCAAAATGGATTAATCCATTCCAGACTTTTAAAAACAACCCCTAAAACAGCAATTTAACATGAATTTTACTATCTAACGAGACCATTGATCCATAAAATGAAAGCAATAATGAATATACTGTCCTATAAAATAAATAAGACAGTATTGTAGATGATAAAAATTAACTGCAGTAATGATAGTCATTGTTTGGATGGGGGGCTTTTATCCATTTCCGCAGTCACACAATCAGTCAACCAGTAGCTGAGCTGGGTTCCGCACAGTCACAAATACAAATTAACTGAAAAAGCTTCAAAAACAAATATGCAAAATAAATAGCAAAAACAAACGTGCCAAACTTAATCCATTCTGGAAGTCCGTTTGACTTCCGAAATGTTCAAAAACCAAGGCACAGCTTCTGTTTGGTGCAGGTGCCCCGGAAACAATAGCCAACAACCTCATTGGACGTTCGGCTTCCAAAAAATGTTTGAAAACCGGAACACTTACTTCCAGGTTTTCGGCATTTGAGAACCAAGGCGTTTGAGAACCAAGGTACCACTGTACTGGAGGAAAACATAGCCATTATGACTAACAGCCACCCTGAATGTCTAATCCTCCTTTGTGTGGACCTCGTGCATATGCTTGTATATCCATGTACCCGGAAACGCCAATGTTCCCAAATGCCTAGACGTGGGTTTTTTAAGATAAATGCACACACATTTGACACCCACACTGCATGTGTCTGCTGTGGGAACCCTTGGTGTATGCTTGATGTTTCCTGTCACAGTCAAAAGCCATCAATCTCAACCAGAAGTCACCTTAGTAGGTCTCTTAGTAGCACAGGCAGATTTCCTTTGGGTCTATGATGTGGTCAAACTCTGGTTCATGAAAGAAGGTTTGGTAAAAACCAGACTGGGAATGTCCAGATCTAGAAATGTTGAAGATGTAGTCTCTCAGCATCGTTACATGTGACTCAAATGACTACCCACTGTTACATGGGCCCCCTCTCTCCCACCCCCTTCTCTCCCTCTCCCTCTCTCCCCACTCAATGACCAACTTCGTGAGACACAGACCACACAGTGGAAGACTCTGGTCTCTTTCGTGGACTCTCTGCCAGATCAGATCACAGATACATCTTGTCCAGGAATCCCACACTGGCCAACTTAAAAGGGTAGGAAGATGGGAAGGACAGTTCCCCTCACTTGTTACCTTTCTACAGTAGGCTAGTTTCACACACTCACATAATCCTCTCTTTCCTCCATCTAGACATGATCAGAGGCCAAAGACACATTCCTGCCAGGGAAAACTCTGGGGGATGATGCAGAGCCAGGGAGGGGTGTGGCCTGGGAAGAGATTGATGAACTACCCAGGGAAGTCACAGGGAGCTCCTGGACCTGAGGCTTCCCTCCCCTGTTGATGGGTAATATTTTCACGAGGAGCATTTTCAGTAAAATGGCATGTGAGAGTTAACCCCTCCCCACACCATAATTCCCGTTGGAATCAGGCTCCCCATGGAGCTGTTTTCTTCTAATGAAACAGACATGGCCAGTTCTAAGCACGTTAGTTAGAATCCATTCCAACCTCCTGCAAAGCAGGAATCTCAACACACGGTCCCCCATCCAATTTGAAAGCAGACCAGTTTCAAACTGAGTGGTTTCAAACCATGTTGTTGTTGTTTAGTCATTTAGTTGTGTCCGACTCTTCGTGACCCCATGGACCAGAGCACGCCAGGCACTCCTGTCTTCCACTGCCTCCCACAGTTTGGTCAAACTCATGCTGGTAGCTTCGAGAACACTGTCCAACCATCTCGTCCTCTGTCGTCCCCTTCTCCTTGTGCCCTCCATCTTTCCCAACATCAGGGTCTTTTCCAGGGAGTCTTCTCTTCTCATGAGGTGGCCAAAGTATTGGAGCCTCAGCTTCAGGATCTGTCCTTCCAGTGAGCACTCCGGGCTGATTGCCTTCAGAATGGATAGGTTTGATATTATTGCAGTCCATGGGACTCTCAAGAGTCTCCTCCAGCACCAGAATTCAAAAGCATCAATTATTTGGCGATCAGCCTTCTTTATGGTCCAGCTCTCACTTCCATACATCACTACTGGGAAAACCATAGCTTTAACTATACGGACCTTTGTTGGCAAGGTGATGTCTCTGCTTTTTAAGATGCTGCCTAGGTTTGTCATTGCTTTTCTCCCAAGAAGCAGACGTCTTTTAATTTCGTGACTGCTGTCACCATCTGCAGTGATCAGGAAGCCCAAGGAAGTAAAATCTCTCATTGCCTCCATTTCTTCCCCTTCAATTTGCCAGGAGGTGATGGGCCCAGTGGCCATGATCTTCGTTTTTTTGATATTGAGCTTCAGACCATATTTTGCGTTCTCCTCTTTCACCCTCGTTAAAAGGTTCTTTAATTCCTCCTCACTTTCTGCCATCAAGGTTTTTTCATCTGCATATCTGAGGTTGTTGATATTTCTTCCAGCAATCTTGATTCTGACTTGGTTTCAAACCATACTTAGCTTTGCAAATGTGCTAGCAGTTTTACTGTTGCAGAACTAGAAACAAGTACAATGTAAAGTATGAGGAGACAGGTCTATTCTACCTTGGGGATCCACATCACACGGTTCTCGGGTGACCATGTGCCTACCTCTGCTTCCTCTGTACCTCCGAATCAGGTCTCATCCAATCTAGTGGCTAAAAGAGAGGATCGCCTTTTCCAGACTGTCCCACAAAAGAAATAATGGAAAAGGCCAAAGTACCATACAGTTGGCTCATTCCTAGTTTCCTGTACAATCTAATACTGCTGAAAAGAAGCTCCGAATTTGTCCACAGCATATGGTATTGATTCTTTTGCCATTGTGTTCATATATCAGATTGTACATATTGTATTCCACTTCCCATTACCTCTGAAAATTGCTAGGTCTAATTGACAATATGGCATCCACATTGAGATGCTTTGTTTTATGAAACTGCCCACTCCTTGGAGATTATTTTGTGTACTTTACTCCTTTAGGTTGCCCTCGCTGTTTGATCAATCCAGTTCTCTTTGTTCTGAAACCATATGCATTTTCAAAACCAATACTTATACACCTTTCAAAGCCTCTGATTGTCATACAAAAGATGATAAATCTCCAGGGGAGCTAAACTATATCCTGAAGTGTACAGGCTAATGAGAAAAATAACTTCAAAATGTCAAGCTTTGGTGTTTTGATATTCTATCTTCTAGCCTTCAAATTGCAGAGGGAGAAAAAAACCCCAACAATGAATGATCCACTTCAGTGAGACATTAATTACATAAATAACAAGCCTGGCATTTATATTCCCCGGTGGGGCTGCGGTTTAGAGGAGCAATTCTATTGTTGCCGTATGATTATTCACCACTGTTGTTGAACATGGGAAAATATAATGCGCATTCTTTGAGGAAGGGGGAAACGGTATAACTTTTCGGCAGATTTTCTGCAAAGTGTTTTAAAGGGGGAAGTAGCCCAATTTCACTTCTTTTGAGTTCACAGGAAATGACTGCTATGGTTTCCTGATATACTGATGTGTGTGCTTGTGGTTACTGGAAAATCCCATACTCTGAAGGCATCCTGTAGTTTATTACATACATGTGTATACTGTGAATTGGCTGCATGTAGCCAGGACTTTAGCTCAGCCAGGACCAAGACTGCCAGATCTCTCCAGATGTTGGGCTTCATCAGCTGCAGCCAACCTTGTCAGTGGTCAGGGATTGTGGGAGTTGCAGTCTGGCCACAGGTTCCGCACCGTACTGTAAAATTCAAACAACAACAATAACAACCAACTCATTTTGCCGCTCACCTGCCCCCCCAATCTTGTGAACATTCTTACCTTGCTCCAAGAGGAAAGACACACGTGATGTCGCCCGAGGAATGCTACCTACACAAGGAAACACCCAAGTCAGACGTCCCCCAAATCTTGCTTCCATTTTGATGAATGGCTTTGTGGAGGCCTTGATGGCTCATGGAGAGGTCAAACCACTCCAATTAAACTCCTTATTCAGTAGCAGCACAGAACAGCTGCACGTACCTAGTATTTGACGCTTCCTGGGAAGAACTGGTGGACAGCAGAGGGAAATGTGCTTTGCTGCTCCTGCACACATCGATTCTTCATTGGAAATGTTCCCTAAAATGGTTATTTCCTCAGGTGTTCTCGTTTTAGGCTATGGTTGGGGTGCGGGGGTTAGTTTTCTGCTAACGTATTCTTGAGCTATTTCTGGATTTCTTGGGGTCCAGGTAATCTCTTACAGTAGTCTCTCACACTAAAGTAAGGGTAGCCAACAACATTATTGGACCACAGCTCTCGTGATCCCTGACCTTTGGCAATAATGAATGAGGCTGATGGATGGTACCACATTGGCTGCCCCTGAATTAAAGCCTCAGTTCATACTGTAGAATAGTAGTAGTATTATTCTAGAATATTAATAGGTGCAAATACTCTTCTCGTCTGCAGTAGAGTATCATCTTCAAGCAAGTGGCAAAAGCCACAGAGGAGATATTTCTTGCTTTTCCTTCCTTATTTAATCTAACTGGTTCTCTGAGCTGAATGCAGCACGTGTATATTTCAGTACAGGAGACGTAATAAGTTCAGAATAAAAGCTTTTCCTGGTGTGTGTGTGTGTGTGTGTGTGTGTGTGTGTGTACAACCACATCCACATAAAATTTCCTTGTTACTTTGGCATTTGTGCACATGCTATTAAGGGAGTTGGAGTTAAGCATTTTCTCTTGAAATTATATGCCAAAATGTCTTTTGCCAAGTTCATACCGTCTTGAAAACCAATTCTAAAGAATTTGCTCTCTTACAAATCAGTAAAAAATGTGTGGCCTTTATGTTTCCAGCTTACAGCATTATCACTTGTATCTGTACATTTTAAAGCAGAAATGTGAGCAAGTTTCTAATCAAATCAAATGGGCCAAAAATAAAATGGGAGTAGAAAGAATGCTATCTGTCAGGAATCCTCAGTATATTTGCTCACTTACAAATTTTCTGAATTGTAGTTCATAACAAAATGTGAGTTTGTTTCACTTGTTTCCAGAAGTTCATAACCTAAGGGATCCGACAACCAGATTTTAATATGTATTTTTAGTTCTTGTCATGATTCAGTTCTTGTATTTATTTTTTCTTTGCAACTTTGCGAATAGAGATAACCAAATATGTGACCATGAGCTCGTCATCTTCAATTAAAAGAGCTATTTATATTCTATGTGAAAATAACGTGGGCTTCAGAAGTGTTTGATTTCCATCAGAACTTCTCATCTGTTTGTCATTTAAAGTTCAGGCCACTTTCCATATTTCTATCAAATGCTTGCCTCACATGGAAGTCTGACAAAAAGAGTCTGGAGAATAGCTTTTTTTTTAAAGTTATAAGTAATCCAGTACTTGCCTGAAATTGACTGGACTCGGCAATAATATACGAGCTAACAAATGAAGCTGAGGGACGTATAGTGTTCAGCTGGAGTTGGAGCACATGTTGCGGATGCTGCCGAAAATGTGGTCCTCATGGTGAGTTACCCCTTCTCTGTAGGAAACGTTTTAAAGTACTCAGCATGTGACTGGTCCTCATTATAATGTGAGTCTCCATACTGCTCTCCTTCTAGTTGCCAGGAATGCAGAACGGGGGCACTGGAGATTCACCATAGGATAATGGATGCTTGAGGTGATGCAAACTTTACTCCTGGGAGGGGGAATCACTCACCACAGAGATGCCATATTTTGGCTCTGTATGCTCTAGCTCAGGCTTCCTCAACCTGGGCCCTCCAGATGTTTCTGGCCCACAACTCCCATGATCCCTAGCTAGCAGGACCAGTGGTCAGGGATGATGGGAGTTGTAGTCTCAAAACATCTGGAGGGCCGAGGTTGAGGGAGCCTGCTCTAGCTCAGGGGTAGGCAAACTAAGGTCCGGGGGCTGGATCCAGCCCAATCACCTTCTAAATCCGTCCCGCGGACGGTCCGGGAATCAGAGTGTTTTTACATGAGTAGAATGCGTCCTTTTATTTAAAATGCATCTCTGGGTTATTTGTGGAGCATAGGAAATTGTTCATTCCCCCCCAAAATATAATCCAGCCCCCCATAATTTTAAATCTGGTAGGGAGAAGCTCCCTCTTTCTTTAAGATCTGTTAATAATTTATATTTTATCCTTGGCTTCTTTCCTCGCCAGATAAATCTTGAAATGTCCTTCTGCCATTCTTTGAAGCAACTCATCTGTAGAAGTTTGGAGACTGAGTGGGTGGGGCTGATGTGCGCAGGGAACACGGCGTGAGTGGAACTTGGACGCACTCCACTTCCCCTACCCACAGTTTGAACATTAGTGAATATGCTTCACATAGCAATCCTATGAACTGGTTGCAATCCTATGGGAGTGAGTGATATTGAGCTCAGTGGTACTTTTGAAAAAACCTGCATGGGATCTTGTAGGAGCAAGCCAAATTTAGTAACTTTTACAGCCTTCTACCTATCGTCATATGCGGGAAATTGTTATTCGAATTTTACAATAGGTATCAGACTTAACTTATGGCCTTGGGCTGGACTACTGAAAACTCAAGGGGTGCAGTTGCGCTAGATTCCCATCCGTCTACATCTGTTTTTCCCCTTAATTTTTTTTTTTATCTTTGCATTTTGCAGAGCTTGTCAAGATTATACCTCTTACTTGTCCTGATGGTGATATTGCTCATTCCTGCAAATATCAGCTGCATTCTATAATCCTGTTTAGACTAGCCTAATTTGGGATGGGGATAAGTTACTGCTCCCACCTTGCTCCCACTATGTCTCCTTGACCTTGCTCAAAGTAGAAGGACTGCTGTTAGAACAGAACCAGATGTTTATTTCAATGCAGAAAACTGGAGCTCCTTCAGGCTGCATTGGATTTGTGCTGAACTGAAATAGGAACTGCTGCTTATGCGTTCTGATTCTGCATTTCCAGGAGAGGGCCTTTAAAAATAGTCCCAGATTATGATGCAGTGTAGATAGTTGGCATAGCTAAGGCTCAGCCACTGAACTACCACCGCCAATGTCCAGGGAGGAGAGAGGTCATAGAGGTGCAGTTTGAGGCTGCTTGGAAGTGTATCTTAGGTATCCTAATGGCTCAGCCATAACACCCATACCTTGGCTCAGAATGCTGTAGACTCAAGTTTCATTCAAGGAATTGGGCCACCGCTGTACTCTGCACAGAGGGCAGAGTAAAAATAAATGTTGAGAACTGCCAGGGCAATTGATCAGGCTGCCTGTACCTTTCCCAGCCAAAATTCTGTCATTTTCAGCAATGCCTCCAGCAGACTGGTGGGACCTCTTTGTGTGCAGCTTCTGCCGTTGCACTAGTTGCGTGTGGAGGTCCCCAAGCCACCCCTCAAATAATTCACAAATCACACGTAATTTTAGTTTAAGGTTTTTGGCACTATTTTGGCCACAACTTTATTAAAATACATAATCTGTGAGTGGTTGCTTAGGCATTAGGTTGCTTAGACTATCTGTCCTCCCGCCTGGGACAGAACTGACTATCCAAACTCCCTAGGAAGCCAGTGAAGGGAAAACAATGTTGGGGATCAGTTGAGCTGAGCGTCAGTCCCTTACCGCTCATCCAACCAGCTCCCCAAGGCTTGCCGGCCCTGGTCCCATTTCAGGGATTGGACGAAATCGTGGCAAGCCCCAGGATTCCTTTAATGGAATTCCCTTCCAGCACCATTGGAGGGGCACGCACAGCCTATCCTGACCCCTCCTCCACCAATTTTTATAACCAATGCCTAACCACAACCTTACAAGTTGTGACAAATTGCTAAGTAGTAGGCAAAAACCAAGTGGCACCAGCCAATCAGCCAAATGGATAAAATTCCTACTAAGCCCTGCCCCAATGGCAGATGACCCCATGGCAGGCACAGCAAGGTCAACCAGAACACAGGGCGGGCGGGTGATCCGATGCACTCAGCGAAAGAGAAAGCAAAAGCGGAGTCCCCCAATATTTAAAACCTTTGGTCCCACCCACAATTTGCAACAAGCAATTTGCCCCAGCAACCCGGTCAGCCAATCGTTGCTTCAGGCAATAACCATTAACCTGCCTGGTAACAGAGGGTTGGCCTGGCAGACCCCACCGCAACCTGTGCTCTCATTTTAGGGAGAACACGCTATAGCGATTTGTAGCACACACCCAATGAATAGGGGAGATATTTAATTTGAACTCTGCTTTGCAGTACCTACGGCAGGGGTCTGCAACCTTTAAGACAAAAAGAGCCACTTGGACCCGTTTCCGAAGAAAAAAAACTGGGAGCCGCAAAACTCGTCGTTATAAAAATAACTTTTTTGTCACTTTTTAAAATTATTTCTTTGTTTGACCCCTCAGAATTACTCCTCCTCATAGAAATAAACGTTAAATTAACAAGTTACCTTTGTGTGTGTGTGTGTTCTTCACTCCCCTTCAAAACAGTGACCAGCGTACATGCCCCTTACAATGTAGCGGGCGGGCGGGAAGGTGACATCGGGACGGTGCGTGACTAACGCACGCACCGCTCCCATGCGACGTCACAGCCAGTACAGCGCCCGCCACAGTGGGGAGTGTCGGGGCGCACAATGCGCCTCCTCCCCTCACTAGTATCTGCCCCGGAGCCGTGGCAAAGGTGTAAAAGAGCCACATGCGGCTCCGGAGCCGTGGGTTGCAGACCCCTGACCTAGGGCGATGAAAGCAGACGTAACCATGCACCGAAGCAGACGTAACCATGCACCGAAGGCTTAGAAATGGGAGAATCAAATTCTTTCTGCTCTTGTTTCCAGAAAGGGTGAGAGGAGGAAAGATCACTTAACATAAAGCATAAAATATAACTGCTTATGGAAAGAGACACAGAACCACAGAATCAGAGAATTGTAGCGTTGGAAGGGCCCCTTAGGGTCATCTGAAGGAGCATCTCCATCCCCATCGTTCTGCCCGGACACTGAGGTCCAGCGTCGAGGGCCTTCTGGCGGTTCCTTCATTGTGAGAAGCAAAGCTACAGGGAACCAGGCAGAGGGCCCTTTCGGTGGTGGCGCCCGCCCTGTGGAATGCCCTTCCACCAGATGTCAAAGAGATAAACAACTACCTGACATTCAGAAGACATCTTAAGGCAGCCCTGTTCGGGGAAGTTTTTAATGTGTGACAGCTTAGTGTATTTTTGGTCTTTGTGGAAGCCACCCAGTTTTGTGGAAACCCAGCCAGATGGGCGGGGTACAAATAATAAATTATTATTATTATTATTATTATTATTATTTAGACCAAGCCTTGCAATGCAGGAAGCCTTGACAGATGGCCATCCTCTCATGGGAGTCTGTTTCACTGTTGAACAGCTCTTACTGCCAAAAAGTTCTTCCTGATGTTTAACCAGAATCTCCTTCCTTGTAACTTGAAGCCACTGGTTCGTTCCTACCCTCCAGAGCAGGAGAAAACAAGTTTGAGAGCCAGTGTGGTGTAGTGGTTAAGAGCGACAGACTTGTAATCTGGTGAACCGGGTTCGCGTCTCCGCTCCTCCACATGCAGCTGCTGGGTGACCTTGGGCCAGTCACACTTCTCTGAAGTCTCTCAGCCCCACTCACCTCACAGAGTGTTTGTTGTGGGGGAGGAAGGGAAAGGAGATTGTTAGCCGCTTTGAGACTCCTTCGGCTAGTGATAAAGCGGGATATCAAATCCAAATCCAAACTCTTTTGCTCCATCTTCCATGGGACAGCCCTTCAGATATTTGAAAATGGCTATCCTATCTCCTCTCAGTCTCCTCTTATCCAGGCTAAACAGTCCCAGCTCTATCAAGCGTTCCTCACAAGGCTTGGTTTCCAGACCCTTGGTTGCCCTCCTCTGCACACGTTTCAAGTGTCAATATCCTTCTTAAATAGTGGTGCCCAGAACTGGACACAGTATTCCAGGTGTGCCCTCACTGAGGCAGAAGTGACCTGTGACATTTCCTACCAATTTATAGTGGGGTGGGTGGGGAACTTTTGGTCCTACAGATGTCTCTTTCTTTCTTAATTTATACAATTTATTACCCCGCTCTTCTGCCCTTTAGGATCCCAGGGCAGGTATGTTGGGTTCCAGCTCCCATCAGCATCACCCCATCATGGACCATGGACAGGGATGATGAGAGCTCTTGTCCAGCAACACCCAGAGGACCACACAGGTCCCTGCTCCTGCTTTATTGCATTATTTCCCTGAATCCTCATGGATATCAGAGACTCTGCTTTATCTCAGGCAGAGTTTACAGGCTGTCCAAATATGGCTTGGCTTTAATATATTAGCAAGCTAACCCAATGTGCACAAGGACAAATATTGAAGTAGACAAATGACAAACAAGTGGAAGAACAGAAAACCTTACTGAATACTCTGCAAGCATTTACCATTCCAGGAATCCTGTCTGATAAACAGAACTATATCGGTCGATGGAGAGTTGTAATTAATTACCTTTGACATTGATAAATTTCTTGCAGGGTCTTCTGTTAATCTGCTGGTGCGTCTGTATCTAGACCTTCCATTCCTCCCATCCAACATTAACAATCTATTTGTAGACTTGGCTGTATAATTAAACATTTAATCTGCAAAGAGAGTGGTTCTTCAGAAAATGTGAACTCTGTTCCTGAACCCACGCTAGGCTTTTTCAGACATGACATAAGAAAATTTGTTCATATTTGCTTGCTGCTTCTGGCTCTTCAGATAATCTTGTATATTACATTTCAAGCACATGTAGATAATTTAATTTAATTTTTTCCCTAAATGTCCATATAGAAGAAAGCTAAACCTATATGAGCGTAATTAGAATTATTTATAATACTATAAAAATTTAACTGAATCAGAATTACTGGAAAATGTGATTTTCAAAAAACAATAAAGGCTATATTTTGCAGTAATTGAATTAAGTTAAACCATCAATTACATTTCTGCCCTTGCCTCATTCTGTTATCTTTGCTCTGCTTGGTATAATGTCGGGTACTTTAGCTTTTATAAAGTTACGGTTGATTATCCTATTTAGAATAAACATTTATTTCAACTTATTTAGAGTACAGATCAGATTTATGCCAAAACATAGCTGTAGTTAAGGCTCTAGACATATTTCCAGACTTGAGGTTGAGGGTCGGGTACTGCTTAACATGTAACACTTTGCCCAGAGAGAGATTTGGTTGAAATCCCCCACCCCTTCAACCATGAAACTCACGGGGTGACCTTGATTCAGATAGTTCATAGGGTGCTTCTTTCTTTTTTCCAATTTTTTCAATTAATTTTCCAAAATTTTGTCTAACAAACAAACATACATCCTATTTGAAATTAAACCAATCTTGGCAACATTGTTAAGTGACTTCCTCAAATCCCCCTGGTTGAATTTCATTATATATCATTTTAACAGTTTTCCAAAATCTATCTTCTCAAAGAAAAATTATCCTGATAACTTAACATCTTTCATTCCTTCTAATCTGGCTTTAAACATCTTAATTCCTATCCCTACATATTTAAGTCCTAAGCCTATCTCGTATTTGCAAGCTTTTCCACAACTGCAGCTAGAAATTTGTTAGCAAAGGATTGGAAAACACAAGAAGTACCAACAGTGGAAGACTGGCAGATGAAGATGATGGACTTTTCAGAGCTAGCCGACCTGAATGGAAAAGTCCGCCACCAGAAGGAGGAGGAGCACCAGGAAGAATGGATAAAATTTAAAGACTATTTAGCTAAATATGTTAAGATAACTTAATTGGAAAAAACTTCACAGGGTGCTTCTGATAATTAAATGGAACAAACCCAAGCAGATGAAATAAATAATACGGGTCACTTTCAGAAGCCTTCCTTATCGAAGATCTATCCTGATTCATTTGCACAAGGTTTGTGGGAAGATTCAATAACTTTGTTTATCTTGAACATTTATTCTGATTTGTTCATGGAGAGGTTGCACCAAGCAAATGTTATCCCACACTATCTGAAGCATTGTCCCTTCACTTTCCTTACTCAGAGAAATTCCAGGGTTTTTTTTTGTTTTTTGTTTGGTTGGGGTTTGTTGTGCAAGAGCACAAATCAACTCCAATTGTGCAACCTGACAATAGTGATTGAATTCCCTTTGAAAGCAGCAACAGTGCTACTGACAACTCATAATGGGAATATACCTTCATTGCAACAGTGCAACAGTTTGATAAGATGTGATAAATCATTTTGCGAGAAGTTGAAATATAGCACAACTCATCAGTGTCTCATCCAAAACAAAACAAAAAAACACCCCTCTGCCCCCAGGAGCGATTCCAGACAGTTGGGATTGGTATTCCTTCTGCAGACATGTTATGTCCAGAAATCATTGGCATCTAAATGCCAACCCCACTCCTCTTTTTAGGAAATCTGATATGCAAAAGCACACACACACACACACACACACACACACAACCCCCTTTTGCCCATAGACAATATTAAGCCAATCTCTGAAAGTGCACAGGCTGCCACTGGGCTTTCCACACAAAAACCCAGAATACCGTATACCAAGCTACACTACAGCATTCTTTGCTTAAATCAAAATAATGTGACTGATTGATTGGTGTGTTCTGCACTTTTATCCCACAGGGGTACCCAATAGTCCTTTACAGACTTTATACAAACATGTAGAGGAGGAGAAATGTTATTGCATGCATCCACATGCCACATATTCATTGTAAGTTCTGAAAGAGCCCCTGCCAGACAACCCATACGTGTAGAAGACTCCTTCCATGCAATGAGGAACCTTGCTTCCTCAGGCTCTGATAGCATTTTCCCTAACCTAAAGGAAAATGAGGAGGGTGTTAGGCTGTACGTAAGAATTTATTATTAAATTAACATCATTAATTTATCATCATCAAAATGTGATTGTAATATTGTACACTGCCCTGCGATTTTTTGATAAAGGGTAGTCTATAAACAACCACCACCACCAGAACTCACTGTACTTGAATTCAAGACGCATGGGAACGGGCCTTTTCTGTGGTGGCTCCTCACAGAGGCTCACTTGGCACCTTCATTACATATCTTTAGGCTCCAGGCAAAACCTTTCCTCTGTAACCAGGCCTTTGGCGATTAACAGTCTATGGACTTTCAAATGGTTTGTGGGTGGTAGGGAGCGTAATTGGTTTGCTTTGCTTTTGTTTTATTATGCATTTTGTGTTTCCATTTTGTATTTTTATGTTGCGAACTGTCCTGTGAACTTTAGATGAAGTATACAAATTTAATAAACAACAACAACAACTCTTGCAGTATTTCTAAAGTCAAATAAGGAAGTGCAACTTTGGACCTCAAGGGGAAGACCATTCTACAGGTTTGAGGCCTACACTGTAAAGGCCCTGTTTCTGTCCGATACAATTTTAACTTCCAACATTGATGGAATCCAAAGCAGGGCCTGATTTGTGCCACACAATTTCAGAGGAAGCAGAGAGGATGTCCTACTTTGTGCGTAAGCTCGGTTGTCCTCCTTGGTTAGGCGGATACAGGTCCAAGATGATTAATTTATGTTTCTGCCCAGAGTGGCAACCCAGTCAGATGGGTGGGGTATAAATATTATTATTAGTAGTACAGTGGTACCTCGGGTTAAGTACTTAATTCGTTCCGGAGGTCCATACTTAACCTGAAACTGTTCTTAACCTGAAGCACTACTTTAGCTAATGGGGCCTCCTGCTGCTGCTGCACCGCCGGAGCACGATTTCTGTTCTCATCCTGAAGCAAAGTTCTTAATCTGAGGTACTATTTCTGGGTTAGCGGAGTCTGTAACCTGAAGCGTATGTAACCTGAAGCGTATGTAACCTGAGGTACCACAGTATAGCATTGGAAAGGGACACGGGTGGCGCTGTGGGTTAAACCACAGAGCCAAGGACTTGCCAATTGGAAGGTTGTCAGTTCGAATCCCCGCGACAGGGTGAGCGCCCGTTCCTGGGTCCCAGCTCCTGCCAACCTAGCAGTTTGAAAGCACATCGAAGTGCAAGTAGATAAATAGGTACCGCTCCGGCGGGAAGGTAAACGGCGTTTCTGTGTGCTGCTCTGGTTCACCGCAAGCGGCTTAGTCCTGCTGGCCACATGACCCAGAAGCTGTACGCTGGCTCCCTCGGCCAATAAAGCGAGATGAGTGTCGCAAACCCAGAGTCGGTCACGACTGGACCTAATGGTCAGGGGTCCCTTTACCTTTACATCTTATAGCATTGAAAAGGACGTCCCTATTTTCATCGGAGAAATGTTGGAGGGTGTGGGAGCACAGTCACTAAAACTGCCCTCTGATCAGTAGGACCATCCCTACCATTAGACGGAAGGTAGCAGCCACCTCAGGTGGCAGATGCAGGGGTGCACACGCCTTACTGCCACTAGTCTGAGCCTCAGAAACGTTTTCTGGATCACAGAACATTGCACCATCCGAGGGGCTGGCAGAACAGGACTGTGAGGGGAGAATGGCTGGCTGCCATTGCTAGGAACAAACGACTTGATGTCATTGCTTCCTGCGATGGCCAGTGATGATCCTCCGGATGAACATTCGTCAGGCGGGATGGTGACAAGGAGGCCGACATGCAAGGACTGGAATGCAAGTGGCCTCCTCTTCAATCTGATCCCTGGGTGCCTGATTAATTGCAGGAGCTGTTCACACAAGCAAATTCCCGCCTCCGGTGGCTCCTGCGCTGCTTTGCCAAAGGGTCAGAGAAAGCAGAGCAGTTAATCCCTCTGAATTATCCTCCCGGCTGGCCGTATGGGGCCTTATCAAATGATGACCACGTGAGGAGACTTCTTGCGCTCGCCAGCTCCTCTGTCTCCCTTGCTGAAATATGGATGTGCAGAGAGGCGGTTATCATTCTTGCGGACTGTCCTTCAGACATGCCTGCCGGTCGGTCTGTTCATGCGTCTGTTTACTTTTCCAGGCCTGTGTGGGAGAGGAGCATGCTTCCTCCTTTCTTTCCCGTCTTCTAAGCTAGAGTCTTGTAAGCAACGGATGCAGCGGAATTATTATGCCCAGTGACAAGCGGCGCTGAACATAAACGGATGACACGGGCCCAAGGCACGGCGATCCCAGCTCAGCCTTGAAGTCCTCAGTCTGCTTGCTCTGCAAAAGGCTGTTTGTAGTTCAGTCTCCTTTAAGTTTAGCAGGCAGAGGCGAGGGAATGTTTGGCAGGTCTGGCCCTGAATGCTAACAGTGGCTGCAAAACTCTTTACAACACGCAGCAGTATGGGAAGAGGGGAAGTCTCCAATCCTAGATAAGACTGTCTAGACAGCGGATCCAAGAACTGGCAAAGGGACAGAAATGGCAGGGCGGGTGGGGAGAAAGGATGAGAAAACACCTCTGAAGAAACAGGAAGGCTTCTTGTTTCCAGAAGCTTGGCTACAAGGACTTTTCTTGTTTCTTCTGAATATGCTTTCCGGCTTATAAAGAGATTATCAGCTTCCATTAAAATAAAAAATGTTCTAGTCCTCATTGCTGTCCTTCCTAGCCAAGAAGTATACCAGGCCTCTACAGGGTAAACTTTTCGTGGCCTTCATGGATCTGAAATCAGCATTTGACTCCATCCCCAGATCCCAGCTATGGTCCACATTAAATCTGATTTTGCAGGACAAATGACTCCTCTTTCTTATAAAAGCCCTGTACAATGGAACCATGTTGGGTTGAAATAAGCGACAGACGAATGGCAAGGTGTCATATGGGAGGCATCTCTCGAGCATGTCTCGGAGAGTCCCTTTTATTGAATATTACAGCATTACCACATATGTGCTTGTTGCTGATTGGTTAACACAAATACAATGCAAGGGCATTAATCATAAGGGTTGGGAAAGGGAAGACATGGTTACTAGTGATTGATATTGCATGACTTGAAAGAACATAACAATCGCAGTCCGTAGATGTGGTCAACAATGCATTAAGAACAGGTCAGGGTGTGATGTTTCATGAACTCAATGTGAACTGTACATTCTCAGACTCATGTGCAGAGGCAAAAACTTCCCAGCAGAACCAAACTGCAGGTCCAATGCGGTCGGCAGGGACAGTTATCGAACAGTATCGAGATGATTAGGGGGGTGAGACAGGGTTGTATTTTGGCCCCCACATTGTTTTGTCTATTCTTAAATGACCTAGAAGAGAGCTTTATGGACCCAGATGGACACCTTCCAAAAATAGGAATGAGAAGGACCCCCTTGTTATATGCGGATGACGCGGCCATCATCTCACGTTCCAGACCGGGTTTGAATTATCTGCTGAGGAAATTTTCTGATTACTCTTCTGGAAATGGTTTCTCCATTAAAATAAAAAAAGTTCTAGTCCTCATTGTTGAACCAAAAAAGCTGTGCCTATGGAAGCTGGGGAAATGATTTTGGGGAAGAAGTTGGGCAGAGACTTTGAGTGATCAAAAGGCATTACAGTGGTACCTCGGGTTACATTATGCTTAAGGTTACATACGCTTCAGGTTACACACTCCGCTAACCCAGAAATAGTGCTTCAGGTTAAGAACTTTGCTTCAGGATAAGAACAGAAATTGTGCTCTGGTGGCGCGGCAGCAGCAGGAGGCCCCATTAGCTAAAGTGGTGCTTCAGGTTAAGAACAGTTTCAGGTTAAGTATGGACCTCCGGAATGAATTAAGTACTTAACCTGAGGTACCACTGTATGCATAATTTGTGCTCCCTATTTGCCTTACAGTCCCTTGATCCTTGCTTTCCGCTTCCACCGTCCTTAGTGTAATTAGAAATAATCGCTACAATCCTATGCATGCTTCTGCGCTTTTAAAGCACAGCTCTGCACCTTCCCGGTCCGTGTCTGAATGTTTTCCCCTTGCTGCTTTCCCCGTGGAAATCCACTCTTTAATGCTCTCAGCAATGTGCAGAAAACCCAAATTGCCATTTGTTCTGATTCAGTGTTAAAGAGCAGTTTTTTTCTGGGGAAATAGGCAGGGCAAAAAAAGAAGAGAGAAAGCGCTCAGAAATGGACTGGGAATGCACAGTCTCTGTGCCTAGAAAGTGTGGGGCAGACAACCAGTGTGGATGAGCTCCAGCTGTAGCTCCGTGGCACAGGCCCTGCTTTGGTTGCAGAAGATTCCCTGGGCCACAGCAGCTCCAGACAGGACTGGGTGAGATCCCTGTCTGAAATCCCTGTCTGAAATGCTGCCAGTCAGTGTTGGTCTTTGTGAGCTAGGTGGACCAGTGGTCTGGCTTGACATATGGCATTTTCCTACATTTCCATGAAGAAGAAGAAGAAGAGTTTTGGACTTGATATCCCGCCTTTCACCTCCCTTCAGGAGTCTCAAAGCAGCTAACATTCTCCTTTCCCTTCCTCCCCCACAACAAACACTCTGTGAGGTGAGTGGGGCTGAGAGACTTCAGAGAAGTGTGACTGGCCCAAGGTCACCCAGCAGCTGCATGTGGAGGAGCGGAGACGCGAACCCGGTTCACCAGATTACAAGACTACCGCTCTTAACCACTACACCACACTGGCTCTCATGAGAATCAGCACCATCAAAATTTGTCGGAATTCTGGTAAAACACACCCACACCCCAGGCTGTGAACAGTGGAAAAGCACCCAACTGAGATTGGCAGAGGAAACCAGATGGTACATTAAATACATACATACATTTTTCTGTGTTTTTTTCTGTTGTTTTAAACTGTTATTAATGTTGCGCAATATTTGGCACGAATGTTGCGCTTTAATTGTTGTAAGCTGCCCTGGAACCTATGCCCCTGTTCTCAGCATACATTTGTTTATTTGTTTTTCATTACAGCAAATATTGAAAACACATCTAGATTCATTGGCAATGGGTGGCGCTGTGGGTTAAACTGCAGAGCCTAGGGCTTGCCTATCGGAAGGTCGGCGGTTCGAATCCCCGCAATGGGATGAGCTCCCGTTGCTCAGTCCCAGCTCCTGCCAACCTAGCAGTTTGAAAGCACACCAGTGCAAGTAGATAAATAGGTACCACTCCGGCGGGAAGGTAAACGGCATTTCTGTGCGCTGCTCTGGATCGCCAGAAGTGGCTTAGTCATGCTGACCACATGACCTGGAAGCTGTAAGCCGGCTCCCTTTACCTATGCTGAGAACAAAAAAGATCCATGTTGCTTATTGGTTAAGAGTTAACCTGGACCTACCCCCCCCTTTTTGGTTTATTTTCTTAATTAACTTGTAGCCGATCTCTAAATGACTGATCTCCGTTTAAGCTCCCCCGCTCCCCTTATCCTTTCGCTGTTGTTGCTTATCTCAATTTCAAAATATCCTTTTTCAATCCGTTAGAGACAGGCACAGTTGCTGGCTGAAGTTAACGGCTAGTTTTGTTCAAGCCTATCTTAGCAGCCAACAAGCTTTCCTTGGGAAAGTCCATTAGGGGAAGGGGGATGAAATTGTGGTTGGAATGAAACTAACTGGAATATACCCCATATCAAATAACAAGGTAAGGGTTGTTTTTTTCTAAAGAGCTTTGGAACCCGAAAGATTTGTGGTGGCTCCAAGAGATAAGAACTGGCACGCTCACACCTGGCCCTGTTCCTATGTGATTTCCCAGACAGGGAACATCTCTCTTAGAGCAGCTCTTTCTTGTACGAGAGGCGTTTGGTTCTGCATTATTAGCAATCGCCCTTTGCATATTAGCATTCACCTGCTGCTAGTATACATTCCAGAAACACTGGCCCAGAGCCTGGAATTCCCCAGAGGACCCAAAAGAGAGCTCCGAAAGTGGCTGTGGTTTTGCTAATTACCAAAGCCAACTGTTGTCTGGCTGGCCAGCCCATCTTAACACTTCTCCCTTCCTTTTAATTCTGCTGCTAGCTGAGCATGCTGTTATTATGCTAATAAGCGCTGGCCCTGCCACACGACAACATATGTGAGATGTGCTGTTTTCCCTAATTGCTTCATTCTAGTCTTATTGGTCTGTGTGCAATATTTATAGGCTTGTTTCCCCCACTGCAGAAAGGTCAGCTGCACATAATTGCAATAGGCACATAACAAAGAAAGTGATATTGCCTAGTGGGCCTGAACATGGCACCAGGGCGGGGAGCCGGTTGGATTCCCAGCGCTGCCTCCGAAACGTGCCCATGGTGTGACCTTATCCAAGGTTTAGGACTCCTTTTTTTTTACCTGTATGCAGTGGTCACCTGAAAGCAAATGGTGGAGCACATGGGAGACCAGAGTCTGCGCCAGGATTCTTATTGCTCAGCTCTTGGCTTTTGTATGTATAGCCTGACAGTTAATGGGGCTTGCTTAATGGGCTTTGATGGGCAGTGCAGTCTTCGCTGTCCTTGGAACGCAGGTCACACCCTTCTGCCAAGGTAGAACCTGGTCTGGGAAAACCTGCCAAGGCAGAATTAAGTAAAGCAGTTTGAAAAAAAAAAACGGATTTGAAGACTGGGAAAGGTTGTGGAGGAAAGGGGTTAAGTTCACTGCATGTACGGTGTTAAAGGAAAATATGAAAATGATGTATAGATGGTACTTAACCCCAGTAAAATTAGCAAATATATATCACATTAGTGATGATCTATGCTGGAAATGTAAAGAAAAAAAGGGTACCTTTTATCACATGTGGTGGACCTGCCCCAAGGTGAAAGACTTCTGGGAGAAGATTTATAATGAATTGAAAAAAAATGTTGAAATATATATTTATTAAGAAAGCAGAGGCTTTTCTTCTTGGAATAACAGGTCTGGAACTGCCCAAGAAAGATGTTAGATTGTTTTTGTATGCCACAACCGCAGCAAGAATTTTCTTAGCTAAGAATTGGAGAACACAAGAAGTTCCAACAGTGGAGGAATGGCAGATGAAGATGATGGACTTTTCAGAGCTAGCTGACCTGACTGGAAGAGTCCGTGACCAGAAGGAAGAGGAGTACCAGGAGGAATGGATGAAATTCAAAGACTACTTAGTTAAATATGCTAAGATAACTTAATTGGAAAAAACTTGCAAATACCAGATAGGCCTAGGATTTAAATAGGTGATGTTAGAGAATATTATGTTTAAAGTTAAAATGAAAAGAAAGAAAGATGTAAAGTGATTAGTTAATTTTATGAGAAGATTGGTTTTGGAAAACTGTTACAATGACATACACTGAAATTCAGCTAGGGGGGATTTAACACTTAACAATGTTACTAAGATTGGATTAAGTACAGTTAAGATGTATGCTTGTCTGTCTGTTTAAAAATTTTGGAAAATCAATAAAAAATTTTGGGGAAAAAAGAGAAAAGAAACAAAAACGGATTTGGGAATATGAGGGTGCTGAGGCTGTTTTAAAGCTAGTCTCGTGGCAGTGGTGGGTCCCAATTTGGCCTACAAGGCTGCCCCTCACAAGTCACACCCAACTTCCAAACCAATGGGTGCAGCCAGGATTTATGTTGGGGTGACACCAACTTGTCACCATCCTGTGTCTGGCTCTGTCCAGCAGATTCAGAATGAAGTCTCAACAACAGCTGTTTTAAATTGCTTTCTTTTGAGCCCCAAAGCTCAGAAAAATCTCTGTGCGTTACCTGGAAAGCAATTTGGAGAGGCAAGGGACTGCGTACTCTGTTTACAATTAAAGCATGTTTTATCCTCCCCCAAAGAATCCTGGGAATTGTAGTTTGTTAAGGGTGCTGGGAATTGGAGTTCTGTGAGTAATATAGACTACAGTTACCAGCATTCTTGGGGGGAGAAAATGTGCTTTAACGTACGTGCACGGGATCTGGTCTGAAAAAGTGCAAAAACACATTAAATCGATATTCAGTCACCCCAGCACAAATATTAAATATCACCCTCAGCTTTAGACTTTAAAATTCTTTTGCATGTCAGCACCAATACAATTTGAAGCGGCCAGTCTCTTCTTAACAAACTGGAAATGTGATTAGTTGCAGCAAAATGAAAAAAGACATTTTCCCTCCATTCCCAGTAAAAGAATAGCCACCCCTAGCTGGCATTTTCCTCAGCTGAAGAGAGAGATGAGTATCTACAGGGCACACAAGGCAGAAGGCTAGGAGAGTTGCAGAAATATGTTGTGCCTTTGCTCAGAACTGGTCAGGGCTAATTAGAAGGCCATTAGTAAGTGTTAATTGTGACTCTGACGATTCAAATGGGTCCTTCCTGATTGGCCACATCCGCTCACAACTGAGATGTCTTCACATGAGCCAGATTATCGCTAGCCATGTGTGTGTTTGTGTGTGTGTGTTTTTAGACCATAATTCACAGCAAGGAACTCAGGATGCAAACCAGGAAATGGCTATATAGAGCCTGTCTGTATATTATTCATCACGATCTACACATATGCTTACAAAGGCAATTTAGAGCCATCACTTGTAATGAGCGTAGCAGAACATCTCAAAGAGAACCAAGTTCTTCCATGTTCTCTCATGGTGCAGCAATAAAACTGCTAGCACATTGGCAAAGCTTTCAGATTGGAGTGGGGAACGAGTGTTGATACTCTTGTGTTGCAGGGGGGTTAGAATGATGACCCTCAGGAAACCTCCCAGTTCTATGATTCGATCTCTGAGATTAAATTTCGTTTCATTTCACTTTTAATTTGTATACCACCTTTCTATATCGCTACAAACAAGGCGGTTTACAAGCTGAAGAAACAACAAAATTGCTGTCTGTTTTGATCACACGTAATAACAATCCGATCCAATACCAAAACGTCACAATAATTGTAAAATAAAATAAGCAACTCATATCAAATAAAGCAATATTCAATAATCCATAACGATATAATAGTAAACAGTAAAAATAAATATCAGCAAATAATAATTATCAGTTGCAATATATAATTAATAGTCGGCATTGCGATTGGACAAAAAGATGGAAATGCCAGCGTGTTACTGCACACAGGTGGTTGTTGGTCTTCTTTGATTGATGAGAGATCAGGCATTAAAGACACTCACTCTCATATATTTTGGAGGGTCTCTTGTTAAAGGGAGTGATATGTTAAGTAAAAACAGGGTGGCTGGTATAGTCAGGCTTACTAATTGGGCCCGATTGATTTGGCAGTCGTATTTTTATTTTGGGTTGCACAGCTTCCGTGACAGTTTTCTTTTAAAAGGTTATATTTCAGTGTTCATTCCCTCAATTTGGCAGGGTTGGTGGGAGGCAGGGGTCTGATTTTTTTTGTGACATCTCACATTATGTGTGTGTACACACAAATGCACACACAGAACTCACTCATTTTTTTCCTGTACCTCTGGGGCTCTTCCTAGTCCCATTGCAGCAAAGTGCTTGTGTGTGTGTGTGTGTGTGTGTGTGTGTGTGTATATATATATATATATATACACATATATACATATATATGTGTGTGTGTGTGTATGTGTATATATACACACACACATATATACACATATATATATGTGTGTGTGTGTGTGTGTGTGTGTGTGTATATATATATATACACATAAATACATACATTATATATATATGTATGTGTGTGCATAAATATATATATATGTGTGTGTGTGTGTATTTGCAAGAGGCATTATTTCTCCCAACCACAAGATGCTTGAAAACACTGACATTTGAGAAACAGCAAAAAACGTTCAAGCAGTCAAATATACGCCAGTGTGGTGCAGTGGATAATATTAGACATAGACTTGGGTTCACTTCAAACAGCTGTTCCACCATGAAGCTCCACTGGGTGAACGTGGCCAGTCACCATCTATCAGTCTGGCCTAACTCACAGGTTTGCTGTGAGGACAGGTCTGTGCCTGTGTGCATGCACATGTTATATACACCGCCTTGGAGGCCCTGGGAGGAAGAGTGAGGAAAAACGCTTAAGTTAGTGTAAGCCTTGGCTCTTCCTTATGTAGTTTTTCTTTTGTGGACTAGGCAAAGATGCATATTTTAAATGAAGGAAACAAGGCACAAAAATAGAACGCAGTTCTGATCCACCCCCAATAGCAGACTTCATTTCCTTAAACATCCCTGTGTTTTCAAACGCAGGAGTGGTTACCTCTTGATAATCACAGGGTTAAGAGAAGACGAACACACATCTACTGAATTCCAAGGTACCTCTTTTCAGGACTGTTTTCAGACTGCAGACTCTCTCGCCAGAGTGGCGCATGCTCTACTTATCTCTCGCTTGGGCTACTGTAATGCGCTCTATGTGGGGCTACCTTTGAAGGTGACCCGGAAACTACAACTAACCCAGAATGCAGCAACTAGACTGGTGACTGGGAGTGGCCGCCGAGACCACATAACACCGGTCTTGAAAGACCTACACTGGCTCCCAGTACGTTTCCGAGCACAATTCAAAGTGTTGGTGCTGGCCTTTAAAGCCCTAAACGGCCTCGGTTCAGTATACCTGAAGGAGCGTCTCCACCTGCATCGTTTTGCCCGGACTCTGAGGTCCAGCGCCGAGGGCCTTCTGGCAGTTCCCTCGCTGCGAGAAGCCAAGTTACAGGGAACCAGGCAGAGGAGCTTTTCGGTAGTGGCACCTGCCCTGTGGAACGCCCTCTGACCCAATGTCAAAGAGAAAAATAACTACCAAACTTTTAGAAGACATCTGAAGGCAGCCCTGTTTAGGGAAGCTTTTAATGTTTAATAGGTTACTGTATTTTAGTGTTTTGTTGGAAGCCGCCCAGAGGGCGGGGTATAAATAATAAATAATAATAATTATTATTATCATCATCATCATCATCATCATCATCTACCCCACACTTAAGATGGCACTGCCGCACTGGAATTTTCTAAAGATGTTGAACTCTTTTGTCGTGCTGTTCCCAATGGGTTTGGCTTCTGTTTCCCCTTATTAAGCTCTTTCAGCTTTTATCGTATACTTCATAGTAGATATTTTTAAAATTATTGAGCAGTTAAAAATGCTCCAGCGACACATACCAACTGGTATATGCACATTTACTCTTCTGGCGTAACACAGCAAGAGGAGCGAGACATCGTAGATCTAATCTTACTCATAGTTGTCAACTTTTCCCTTTTATTGCGAGGAATCCTATTCGGAATAAGGGGATTTTCCTTAAAAGAAGGGAAACGTTGACAGCAATGAATCTGCTGTTTATTTACACACTATGTACAGACAAAAGCATAATGGCGTCTGTTCTCTCCAGCTCCGAGAGAACAAACAGAAATAAATAAAAGCGAAAGTACAGTATAATAGTACCCGCAGCGGAAGAGATAAGACCGTCTTCCTTTCCCAGACTCGTCCTAGACAGGCATGTGATTTACAACAATCTCATCTGCAGCATCGGAGGAGTGAAATTGCTAACATCTCTCTCTCTCTCTCTCTCTCTCACACACACACACGGCCAGTGGTTTCCAATTAGCTAAGTAATGAGGACCCCTTGTTTTTCAAAAAGCCAAGTCATAGGCCCCCTAATTTTGAAAAATGTTCCTATCTCTGTGGTAGTTTTCGTTATGTGAATGGTTCCACCATACCCTCCAACGTGCCCCAGCGCATCACTAGGCTGTGCATATTCCGAGATGCATTCCCATGTGAGTCATGTGACGCGTGTAAGAGAACAGTGTCCCCAAACACATGTTTTAGGGTGCCGCAATCTCACGGAAGATGCATGTCCGGCCACAATCTTGCACATTTTGGGGTGTCACCCAACATCCCAATGGGATATCCCAGACAGTTGATGGGTATGTGCCACAGAACCCCTGGGTGGGTTCTGTGGACTCCAGTGGTCTGCAGACCACACAGGACCTGGGTTGCATTCTACAGTATCCTATTTTGTTGATTATTCTGTAATGTGACTTTTCAAGAATAAATGGTTTGTGGACTGTAAAGGTAAAGGGACCCCTGACCATTAAGTCCAGTCGTGGACGACTCTGGGGTTGCGGCCCTCATCTTGCTCTACCGGCCGAGGGAGCTGGCGTTTGTCCACAGGCAGCTTCCGGGTCATGTGGCCAGCATGACTAAGCCGCTTCTGGCGAACCAGAGCAGTGCACGGAAATGCTGTTTACCTTCCCGCTGGAGCGGTACCTATTTATCTACTTGCACTTTGATGTGCTTTCGAAATGCTAGGTTGGCAGGAGCAGGGACCGAACAACAGGAGCTCCCCCCATCGCAGGGATTTGAACCGCTGACCTTCTGATCGGCAAGTAGTTTTTATATATGCAATATAATATATTGTCTCATCTCTTAAAGTTAAGACAAAATCTGAGTTTGTTTGACTGGCACTAATAGTTCTGGAAAGAAATAATTTAAATATTATTTACATATTATTTGAAGCTATAATAATGGGTAAGCTGTCACGGAATCGTATTGCCATTATTTGAGCCTTGACACGACAGCTCATAAGAAGGCTGTTATGAAAATTAGACAAGTAAAGTTGAAAGGTTGTTATGTAAGTCCTCACAGCCAAGTTTGAAGTACACCTTATGCTGTTGTTTTGCATGAAAAACGAGGCACCATTTATTATGCTTACTGGAGCAACCAAGTTCTGCCTCAGAGACACTGATACATATATACATTTAAAAATCTAGCCACATTTTGTAAAACAGGTTGTTTTTGTGAGTGCTTACAATGAAGTAGTTGCTCCTGTAGCCAGTCCATAGGAACATTTGACAACTCCATCGGCAAACTTGCTGACGTGAAAATTGGCCCTCTATCAGGGATGGAGGAAGCTGTAACAGGCACAGGTAAACTCCAGCCCTCCAGATGTTTGGGACTACAATTCCCATCATCCCTGACCACTGGTCCTGTTAGCTAGGGATGATGGGAGTTGTAGTCCCAAACATCTGGAGGGCTGGAGTTTGCCTATGCCTTCAGTTGATCTGAAGGACCACAAGTTAGCCATCTCTGCCATGTATTGAAAACACTTAGTTTTATGTCCTGCTTTTTATTATCTATCATTATTTATTAAATTTATAGCCTACTGGTCCTCCCAAAGGAGCCCTGGGTGGCAAACACACAAACGATAAGGCAATTCAAATATCCAAGACCATCTTAAAACAGGTCCAACACAGATACAAACAGGGAAAGATCTCAACTTATAAGGCTTGTTGAAAGGGGAAGATCTTCAGTAGGTGCCAAAAAGACAACAGAAATGGAGCCTGTTTAATATTCAAGGGGAGGAAATACCAAAGGGCATGGGCCCCTAAAGGCCCAATTGCTGTGTTACCCAGAATGGTCCTCCTGATAAGATGGTCTCTGCAGGAGTCCCTCGCCTGCAAAGCACAGAGACTGAAAGGTGTATAGGGCAGAGACAATAATTCAGGTGCCATGGTCCCAAGCTGTACACACCAAATCCAGCACCTTGAACTTAGCCCAGGTGCTAACTGGCAGCCAAGTTCAATTCTTCTAGCTGTGGGGCATCTTGACCCAGTGAGCAGTTGAGCGAGTTGCAGCAGTTTCAGCTTTTGGACCAACCTCAAGGGCAGCCCCACATAGAGTGTACTGCAGTAATCCAACCCGGAGTTTACCAGTGCATGGATGACAGGGGTCACCTCTAACTATTGAGGCTTCCAAGGTCTCTAGTGACAAAGATGGGTCCAAAGGCACCCCCAGACTATGAGATACAGACTTTGGAGGAACATTTTGCAGCAGGAACTTTGCTAGGCATGGGCCCATGGGGTATGCACACAAAGGTTGCCCCCCCCCCAAATTCCTAAAGTGCTTCTGCGTGCATATTGGGAGATATTGAACTAAGTATATGTGATTTGGGTTACTGGGCAGGATCTTAATTTTGGGGAATGGATTAATTGAATCTGCCATTATCTAGAGATGATTTGGGGGTAATGAATGAGGGTAATTGAATTTATTTGGACCAGGATTTGTTAGGAAATTAATTAGGGGTAAATGAAATGAAGAGGAAGTGATTTGCAGTGATCTGGGGTAGGGTGTGAATTAATTAAAATATTATCTGGGGTGATTTGGATGGCTTCCCATCTGTAACGTTTACATTTGAATTTGCATCTATACATAGAAATTAGCATACAGTATTATGCAAATGTGTTTCTATAGGCCCGTATCCCCAATTTTTTAAGCGCCTTGCATCACTCCTGTTTTGCAGTTCCCAAAGAGCCACCAGCTCAAACGCACCAGGATATTTGATTAAATATTCCTGTTTTTGAACGTATCTAGCATTGGATGTATATAGCGGTCTGTCTTGAATTTCAATCGGAACACAATCCCTAAGCATTAATATACAGATAAATAAATGCAACAGGCCGTCAAAAAGCAACACCTTATTAGCAGGTCATTTGAAAGCACCATCCCTTAGATAATGGAATCAGCTTCAAAGAAGCAAGGCAACCAGTTAAATGAAATGTTATATTTTATTAAATTCCTGACCACCGGTAAGAGATTGTGTCGGAGAGAGTTTGAAAAGAAGAAGTAGTAGTAGTAGAAGAAGAAAAAAGACGGGGAGTTGCTTGCTTTATTTCTGCAGTGCTGATAAGCAGTAATTTTTGCAGAGAAGGAAAAAAGTAATCCACTGCGATAAAACCATTTTCATAATACCATGGGAATGAGTTATTGCTCGAGGTAAGGCACAGCTTCTAATGGCTGCCTGAGCTTTCATCTCCATCTTTCATGGACTAGTCAGACATTTTTATAGTGCTGACACAAAAAGAGAGCATTTATGTTGCTTCCATTCTCCATCTGTCAACAGTTAGGTTAAAGTGCTACTACCAACATACTTTTGATCTGATTTCTATTCTAACTCTGTGCATTGCTAGATATAAGGTTTTTTGAGCCGTACCCACTCTTGAGGGCCCTTATCGCACAATTTCCATGTACCATTAATGGCAAGCAAACAGGCTTGGGGTGCTTACCTTTAAAACATTAATTGAGGGTCAGAGTGTCATTTTCCTGTTCATTGCAACTCTCCAAATCCATGCAGCTGCACATATTTCCTAAAGTTCCTTTGATGCCCTCTGAAGTGTGCTGTTGTCTGTGGTGTCGAGGTGACCAGTAGCATAATCCCGTCTTATTTTTTATGCAGTTTCTCCACTCCATAGTTGGATAAGATAAATTACAGTATTGATAAGAAACAACTTAAATATGATAAAGAGAAAGCCCCCCCCCCCCCGCTGATCAGAACCAAATAGCAAAAATGTATCTAACTAAAATCCCAGGCTATAGCATCACCTGAACATTTGTCTGGCTTTATTTATTTCAGTGGGTTCTGCTCCCTTAAAGAAACAAACTGTATGATGAATATCTGCATTCAACTCTAGTTGCTCTTTAGAGACACATTTTTGCCTTCTGAGTCACACATGGATATTTGAAAACTTATACTTTCAGATCTTGGGCACAACTGCTTCAGAAGTGTAGCATTTCAGAGTACAGGTGAGCGATTGCTTGGGGGAATGCTCCATGTTAAAACTCCCTATAGAATGTTGTTGTTGTTTAGTCATTTAGTCGTGTCCGACTCTTCGTGACCCCATGGCCACTGCCTCACACAGTTTGGTCAAACTCATGCTGGTAGCTTCAAGAACACTTTCCAGCCATCTCGTCCTCTGTCGTCCCCTTCTCCTTGTGCCCTCCATCTTTCCCAACATCAGGGTCTTTTCCAGGGAGTCTTCTCTTCTCATGAGGTGGCCAAAGGATTGGAGCCTCAGCTTCAGGATCTGTCCTTCCAGTGAGCACTCAGGGCTGATTTCCTTCCGAATGGATAGGTTTGATCTTCTTGCAGTCCATGGGACTCTCAAGAGTCTCCTCCAGCACCAGAATTCAAAAGCATCCATTCTTCTGCGATCAGCCTTCTTTATGGTCCAGCTCTCACTTCCATACATCACTACTGGGAAAACCATAGCTTTTACTATACGGATCTTTGTTGGCAAGGTGATGTCTTTACTTTTTAAGATGCTGTCTAGGTTTGTCATTGCTTTTCTCCCAAGAAGCAGGCGTCTTCTAATTTCGTGACTGCTGTCACCATTTGCAGTGATCATGGAGCCCAAGAAAGTAAAATCTCTCACTGCCTCCATTTCTTCCCCTTCTATTTGCCAGGAGGTGACAGGACCAGTGGCCATGATACTATAGAATATTAATAGAGCAATCCTATGCATGTCTAGTCAGAGCTGAGTGTATACTCATTGAGGCTTACTCCTTGGGACGTGTGTATCGCAATGGGCCCAAATGCCAGGGACAGGGATTCTAGTCTAGCTTTCTCCCAGACTTCTTCTACTTCATCATCAAATAATATATATATATATATATTTTAAGTGCTATACAAAAAATGGTCTGCTGAGGATCCACACACACTAGATTTTTCTGAAGAAATGTAGTTTGTTCTTGGGTTCAGACCCCGCTGCAGCCTGAAGTGGTACCACATCAGGGCTGGTTTTCTCTTATGGTCTGCTGGCAGCAACTCTGCTCCAGAAAACTTGAGCCAAGCCACAGGACTCAAGGATAGTTATCCCTGAACTGAGCTTGAAGAGAAATCACTTTTAATGACATCTGAAGGGCACATAGGCCTAGAAAATAATTACTATGCCATCCTTTCAACGCCAGTTTGCTTTCCTACTAATCAGAAGTTGCTTGTTCTCTTAATTAGCAGAGAGGAATCAAGTTGAATAATTGGTACATTCCATTTGACCACTTCCTAGTATTATTTTATTCCTCTGCCTTTTGAAGAAACGACCCCTGAATCACTGAGTGCATTACCCAGAAGCCGGGGTGGACTCTTGGCCAATTTAGCTGAGTAAACTTTATTTACTAGAGCAAATGTGTTATGGAGCAGTAGGCAGGTAGGCTTTTAAGTTCTGTGTCCTGAACATGCCTGAGAGTTCTGAAGCTGCTGTGTTGACTGCCATCTTGGAAGTCCTGTACTGGGTCGAACAAAAGCCCTACGGAAATAGTCAAAGGTTTGTTCATATTTCCTGCCGCAGACTTTATGGATCCACATAATCAACCCTATCCTTTTCCCCATTACAAAATGTGGTTCTTTCTGCTTTTCCCAGCAACCTCAATGGCATCGATACTGTAAATGGGTTTGACAAGGTGTCTCATACTGATGTAAAAAGACCAGAGTGTTCTTTTTCCCCATGAGTATATTCTGTAAAATGTTATTGATTTGTATTTGTTATTGTATTCGTGGTGGATTTATACTGGACTGTCCACACATTATTCCAAGTTACAAGTTGTTCTGAGACGCATCCTCAGTGTTATCCCATTATAGGCATATGGGGGAGGGCACTGTGGCACTATAGCACAACAAAAACAGACCCAATCCCTGGAGCACTTCTGGTATACAGTGGTACCTCATGTTACATACGCTTCAGGTTACATACACTTCAGGTTACACACTCCGCTAACCCAGAAATGGTGCTTCAGGTTAAGAACTTTGCTTCAGGATAAGAACAGAAATCGTGCTCTGTCAAGGAGGTTGGTTGATGGGTGCTAGAAGAGATAACAGCCCGGGACTCCAGCCAGCTTTACAAGATTTATTAAGTCCATTATACTATTTACAATCCGGAGCTCTCAAAAAGCATGTCCTCCTCATTCGGTGTCAGTTGCCGAGACTGGCCCCTCCTTTCCTTTTCTCCAGCATAACAACTTCCTGAAGCCTCCCCTTTTCCTGCCTCCTTTATGTAAAGAGCGAAGCCCCGGAAGTTGCTCCCCCCTCCCTGATTCATTGCTCCCTGACAACCTTTCGTCATCCTCCCTCTCTGACGAGGGGCAGCTGCTCACTATCGGAGGCTGCTCTCTGTATTTCCCCAGTGTTTTCCCCTTCTCAGCCCCCAGTTCCCTGACATGCTCCGGCGGCACGGCGGCAGCAGGAGGCCCCATTAGCTAAAGTGGTGCTTCAGGTTAAGAACAGTTTCAGGTTAAGAACGGACCTCCGGAACGAATTAAGTACTTAACCCAAGGTACCACTGTAAAAGGTTACAGAATTTCAGCAGATTATGGGGCTTGCACTGATTGGAAACGAAGCAGTGTGACTGCCCCAATACCACCATGAGCAGAAATAATCAAGGATGTACAATATAAAGGGGCCCATGGATGGCTTGCTTCTTATGCGAAAATTCACGTACCATGAAGAATTTTACCCACACCTTGCCACACACATAGGGCTGCTATATGCCTGGATTTTCCCAGACATTACCGGGATTTCAAAGGTGGAATCAACATCTGGGGGTGGGATTTCCAAAAGATGTAAATCTTAGGCAAGTTAATCAAAAAAATCGCATTTTGGGGGCATTTTTGTAAAAAAGAAGTTCAACAACTTTGGCGTTTGTCCAAAAAAGCTCAGAAACTTTCAAGGTGCCCTGGTTTTTACTTTTTGAAATATGGCAACCCTACACACACATGGCCGACTCAGATATCACATGCCTACTTATTTGTGCTTTTCTGGTTGATGGCAGCCATTCTGGGGCAGAAACCATGGAGAGAGGGAGCAGGGACAGACATTGGACAAATGAGAGAGCTGGAGAGATTGGACAGATCTTTTCCTTTGCCCCTCTTTTGCTGGTTGGCTGTGGCCATTTTAAGACAAAACAATGGTGGCATTGGGAGATCACAGATTAGAAATGTTCCCATAAGAAAGAATGGCTCGTTATGCGAATGCTCACCTAACGAACACTGTATTGGGAATGCATTCTGTTTGGGAAGTGGGACCTGTGTGTACATTGACGGGTGGTGCAATCACCATTTTACTCCTTTTATAACTGCATTTATTATTTGACCTCGAACAAAATTTGCAGGAGTTGAAAATGAGGATCCCTGCCAATGAGGAAGGATGTTGTACCTTGCTGTCAAATATTTCCACAGCTTTGCTCTGGCCAGGTGTCGATTCACCTGCATCTGCATTCATCTGGTCATCCTCAGGCAAAAGGGGACCAAGACTTTTCGCTCTCATGGCTCATGGGCCTTGTCTTGCTTGTCAGCACATGGAAGTTGTGGGTTGAAGGAGTCCTGCTGAGGGTCTTATATTTCTTACAAGATGGAACCAAGTGAGCATGTTCCTGGTGTTTTATTCATTTCCCCAGCTTGAGACTCGAGCCTCTTTACTGCTCCTTTGACATTGTTGTCCACTCTCTGTTACCTTCCAAAATGGTTGTTAATGGAGCTCTCTACACCCTTTCTGAACTATTGGTTTTTCCTCTTAGTTGCTGATTATTTAAATCCTCCCAGCCCCATTTTCATATCCACTGCTCATCTGCCATTAATCTACAGCAGCTCATTTCTTCTATTCAGACTCTTCATTTCAATTCTTGTAACGTTCCGTCATCTTTCTTTCTTTCTTCGGAGCCCGGAAGAGAGTGCAGGCCGGTTAAAATGAAAATATACTTTTCAGATTTTTTACTCGCCTAATTATTTTATTTTAAGTGAAGCCGAGACATCAATCAGACCGTCCTCTAAATCCCAGTCACATCTGCTGCTAAATGAAAATATCAGTTATTCTCTCCCGTTGTCAGCCTACCTGATTTTAAGCAGTGTTACTGCAAGAATTATTAAGAGTTCAGGCATGTCCATGATCTTATTTGAAATGCTCTTGCAAACAAGGCCAGAGCAATGCCACTGAAATCCTAATATAGCTCATGAAATATCATTAACCAATGGGGTGAGTGTATCTCAGTTGTTCAGAGAAGGCTGATAGAAGCCCATGAGGTTAGAAGTGAGGACTGACTGAAAAACAAAGAAGATCAGTATACAGAAATAACAAGGGAAGGAGAGAAGCTGCATCGTGTGTCAGGATTCTTGGAGTCTAATTCGCTCCCAGTCCTGAGACTGACTGAGAATTCTTTTTAAAGGGTGTCATATCTGAAGTGGTAACTGGCAAGATGATTAGTATGCCATTGATGTTATTATTGGTCATTATGGGACAAATTTTCTATAAAAGGGCCTCGTTCATATACAGTGGTACCTCGGGTTACAGACGCTTCAGGTTACAGACTCCGCTAACCCAGAAATAGTACCTCGGGTTAAGAACTTTGCTTCAGGATGAGAACAGAAATCGTGGTCCAGCGGTGCAGCAGCAGCAGGAGGCCCCATTAGCTAAAGTGGTACTTCAGGTTAAGTACAATTTCAGGTTAAGTACGGACCTCCGGAACAAATTAAGTACTTAACCTGAGGTACCACTGTACTTATCCGGCCACTGTTCCAAATCATTTGGGTGCCATCTGCATAATAATAATAATACATTATTTGTACCCCGCCCATCTGGCTGGATCTCCCCAGCCACTCTGGGCGGCTTCCAACAAAGATTAAAAATACATTAAAATGTCACACATTAAAAACTTCCCTAAACAGGGCTGCCTTCAGATGTCTTCTAAAAGTCTGGTAGTTGTTTTTCTCTTTGACATCTGGTGGGAGGGCGTTCCACAGGGCGGGTGCCACTACCGAGAAGGCCCTCTGCCTGGTTCCCTGTAACCTTACTTCTCGCAATGAGGGAACCACCAGAAGGCCCTCGGCGCTGGACCTCAGTGTCCGGGCAGAACGGTGGGGGTGGAGACGCTCCTTCAGGTATACATTTAAAGCATGATTATACTGTTTTAACAGTCACGGCTCCCCCAAAGAATCCAGGGAACTGTACTTATAAGGAGAACTGCATTCCCTTCCCAAAGTTCCATGAGAAGTGGCCTTGGTTGTTTTCAAAAAATCAAGCATAAAAGCAACAGTAATCCAGTCATGAAAATGCAAATTAACCAAACTAAAAATCAGTCGTGCCCCTGTGTTAAGTGGCTTTTTTGGTGGCTGGTTGAAACAGTTTCATTTGGCTAGTAGGCAGATGATACTATGAATACTGTCTATATTGTCAGATATGTAGGAACTGTAATTAAATGAACTAAGGATTGTTGGATTTTAAAAAACTCTTTGTGGTGTTTTGTTGTTCTGTTTTTAACATGTTGTGATTGGCCCTTTGACCTTTTGGTGAAGGGTGGGATATAAATACTGAAAATAAAATAAAGCAAATAATAAAACAGTAGCAAATACTTTTTTAAATTAAAAACAAAACAAAACAGTGCTAGTAATCAATACACCAAGCAGCACATAATTAATTACCTACAGAAGCCAGATAAAAAGGATGCTTAGCTAACCTTTGGGACAAAGAATTCCTTTACTTACCATATTTTTCGCACCATAGGACGCACTTTTCCCTCCTAAATAGCAAGGGAAAATGTCTGTGCGTCCTATGGAGCGAATGCAGGGGGGAGGCAGGCGGGAAAAGCCCCCAAGAGCCGCACACAAGCTCCGTGCGCTCTTGCGGGCTTTTCCACAGGAGGGAGAAGGGACTGACTGGCCGCATCAGTCCCTTCTCCCACCTCCCAGAAAAGCCAGGAGAAGCCGTGATCTCTTTAAAGGGGTTGCGCGGCTTCTGCGGGCTTTTGGGAGAGCTGAGGGAATCCAACCACCTCCCAAGAAAGCCAGGAGAAGCCCTGCGTAGCGTCTCCTGGCAAGAAGAGGCTGCACGGGGCTAAAGGGGAAGCCAAAACAGCGAGCGGGATCCATCCCGCTCGCTGCCTTGGCTTGCTCCATAGCTGCTCGCAACCCCTCCGGCAGGGAGAGGCTGCACGGGGCTATGGCTTCTTTAGCCCTGCGCAGCATCTCCCAGCAAGGAGAGGTTGTGCGGGGCTAAAGAGGAAGCCAAAACAGTGAGTGGGATCCATCCTGCTCGCTGCCTTGGCTTGTGCCATAGCCGCGCGTAACCCCTCCGGCAGGAAGAGGTTGTGCGCAGCCTGTACGCTGCTCTTTGGGGCTGGGGGAAAAAATCCCCCCCTTGATTTCCCCCCCTAAAAACTGGGTGCGCCCTATGGTCCGGTGTGCCCTATGGTGCGAAAAATACGGTAATTAAGACACAGCTGCATACTCATATACTTTACTCTCTCATTTTCATCATTTATGATGGCACAGCCATACTTTCCTATTCTCACTCCCATCAATGAAAGGAATTACTGATGTTCTCCACTTTTTGCATAAATATTCTGCAATATTACAAAACTTACATAAGAGCAACAAAGAGTCACATTCCAGCTTAATGTCTGCTGTTTTACTCTGACATATCTTTAACCAACGTTCTCTTGCTTTTGGACAATTCTGTGTGTCGGGCCCTAATCAAACAAGCAAGCACAAGACTTACCATCTGTAAATATTTATTTGGAAGTAAGAAGCATTAATTTCACAGGGCTTAGTAAGTTTGTTTAGGATTGTCGTTTTACTGTTTTGTGTAATCTGTGCACATAAACAGGTTATTCCCTGTGACTTCTTGCATCCTACTTCAGTGTGTCAATGTTCCTGCAGGTTCAATGTATTTGCTCCCAAGTGTGCATGCAGTCACAGGAATAAGTTATGAGGTAATGTTAAATAAAGGAATGGAGAATCAAATGGGCTGTGATACCTAATGCATTATTGCATTTAGCATGAATGATTTAAAAAATGCCAATAGCCACTGCTGGGTGTGGGGCAAGCAGGATTGGGGCTCCATCATAGTCCTAACACACACACAGCTGCTATTTGCATTTGGAGAAAAGGTCCCATTTGACACCCATAGACAAGTACAGCTGCTGCCGCCATTCCATTGCTCCAACAAGGCCAATGCTACGATGATGCCTTTCCCAGTGCTAGGCAGTTGGGCTTCAGAGCTGCCATTTAAAATTCCCACAATGCCTTAGGATGCTGCTGAGTTGTATGTTCGTTTATATAATCCAGATTATGCACGGCTGACGAAGCCCAGTTGGGTGAAACAAGAAATTATCCTGGAATCCTTGTCTTATTTTCTGCACGTGCCATACTTTCCAGTTTTTCATCTGATAACTACTTACAAGGAACGCTAGAATTCACAAGAGCATCGACACGTGGAACACTACAAGATTGATAATAAGCATTCCACATCGTGGTTATTGCTAATATAAGAACTGAATAGACTGTATCTCCTGATCAATCCATTGGACGTTAATCTCTCAGTATATGTTCCGTTCATGTGGTAATTTGGTCTATGGAATTACATATTGTGACAAGATATGTTGAATTGTTCTTGAAATAAAAGTTATACTGTTACATACAGCCTGTTACGTCGTGTGTGTCGTTACCAGTATTGTATTTACGTAACAAAAGGTTCAGCGGTGTTTTGTTAGGACCTCTCACAGCTGAAACTGGCTCTGAGATCAGTTCTTCTTGCCCCCCAAAACTTTTATTGCAAAAATCAAGGCTGTGTGTGTGTGTGTGTGCGCGCACACACACACACACACACACACACACACACACACACAGAGAGAATGAAGATACACAAACAGGGCAGATGCATGAACACGCAAGCAGCTTGGCCTTCTCAAAGTGGCCTTTGGCAACTCCACAGCCTCTCATTTATCTCGCAGGGCTGTTGTGAGGTAAAGATCCATGGGGGTGCACACAACAATTCCCTCTTGGGGTACAATGAGAGGAAGAAATCAAAATGAATTTAGTTCTAACCGCTTGCCCTCAGAATTCCATTTTAGGAAATCATTTCCTTGCATTTTTAAATAGGTATTTTAATCTCTCTCTCTCTCTCTCTCTCTCTCCCTCCAGAATCTGCAAATGGATTAAGCCCCCTGAGAGATTGTTATGAGTTTTATCAAAGTTTTGTCTAATAATTATGAGATTTGCACTGGGCTGCTGCAGACCGATCAGACCCACTTACCATAATGATACTACTAAATAATGAGCGTTCAAGTGGGTCTTATTAGCTATGAATCTATTAAAGAATCAGTACGCATCTCATTCTCCATTACTGGGGATGAGGAGGGGAAGAAGGTGGAAAGAGAACTGTTGCTGGGTAAGGTTTATTTTTATTATTATTAATTTCATTTAAATCCAAGCAGAGCACTTTCAGACCATCGTCTGGCTTTGTGGACTTCCAGGTGTGCACATTAAAGCAATTCCCTCCCCGCATTAAATGGTTGAAACAAGTTTCTAATAAATCTCCAACAAAATACGCAGTAACCACTTTTAACAACCAGTTTGTTGGAGTGTTAACAGCCTGTTAGCTAACAAACTGGTCATTAACTGGTGCTAACCTTGGCTTTCTTGTTTAAATAATCCCTCAGCATCAGCCCAATTCCCATGGGAATCCCCATTCAAAAAAAAAAAGGGGGGAGGAGATGGTGGGAGAAGAAAAAAACAATCCCTTCCCTCATTTTGTTTCTCTCATTGAGTTTCTTTCCTTAACAATCAGATTTATTTCTCTTGCACAATCGCTTTCTTTCCACCAGTTGCTATTGACCCCAAGGGTCTGAAACTTGTGTTTGTCTCCTTTTATGTTATCCGACAGAATCATGCAGCCAACTCTCTCTATTTTCACTGAATTAGGTGATAATCCTCAAGAGCTTAATTAAAAGTGTGGAACACGAAGCCTACATAAATGGATGCATTTCAGTCAAGTGAATTTTGGCTCCTTTTTACATGCCTTCTTCTTCGTTTCCGATCCTTTGGGATTTTGCCATCTTTTGTTCTTGTTGTTACAATCCGGAACTTTTAACAACACATGGCGAGAAATGAGCAAGGGGCCATATGTACACTGTTGCTGACCCTTCATTTAGAAAGTACCATTACAGCTACCATTGCTGCTTCCTAGACTAATGTAGCAGCGCAGCTCTTCAAAGATACTATACTAGGGGGAAATGTAGGCTTTTGCACAGTAAAGTTGATCTTTGCTCTGTGTTTTAGGGAAACCTAAAAGGTCTTTTAATGAATCTTGGCCATTGGCAATTCACACGAATATATATATTTAAAAGGACATGAGAAGCCAGCCTTTTATAGCAGAAGCCTCTGCTGTACTGCATGTAAAGTGCAGTACTTCAGTTGGAACTCTTTGCCTGCGAATGGATGAAGTTTGCTTTGTTCTGTATTCAACACGCAGGATAAACACAGATGGTCATTTACAGAGCAGTAGCGTTCTATGGAAGTAGCTGGAGGACAAATTGCAATGTTTTCTTGCTTCCTTGGAATGGTGATCAGTACATGCCTATGGTGCTGGTAACATTTTCCTGACTATGTGGGCATGCTAGAGACAGCCAGCTCCCCATTTGGCTATCAGGTGCCTACTCCATTAATCCAGCATGCGTTAAATAGCTGTTTGTGTTCACTCCTAAGAGGTTCAGCTGCAGTCCTGTGAGTGTGATGGTCTAAAAAGCAAAGACTGATAAAGAACACTGACTGATAACCGGTGGCCCATAGACTAGATGCTACCTATAAACAACAACCCTAGATTTTGCTGGCTAAAGGAAAAGATCTGTTTCAGCCATGTCCAGGAACTTGCAAGACAACAAAGCAGGGAGCCAGAGGAAGGAATGCAGCAGTGAGGCAGTCCTGTTCCCACACCAGTGCTGGAAACAGTGACTTTTTAGTTTATAAAAAAGGCAAGTAAGAGGGTTGTTGTTGTTTAGTCATTTAGTCGTGTCCGACTCTTCGTGACCCCATGGACCAGAACACGCCAGGCACTCCTGTCTTCCAATGCCTCCCGCAGTTTGGTCAAATTCATGTTGGTAGCGTCGAGAACACTGTCCAACCATCTCGTCCTTTGTCATCCCCTTCTCCGTGTGTCCTCCATCTTTCCCAACATCAGGGTCTTTTCCAGGGAGTCTTCTTTTCTCATGAGGGGGGCAAAGTATTGGAGCCTCAGCTTCACGATCTGTCCTTCCAGTGAGCACTCAGGGCTGATTTCCTTCAGAATGGATAGGTTTGATCTTCTTGCAGTCCATGGGACTCTCAAGAGTCTCCTCCAGCACCAGAATTCAAAAGCATCAATTCTTTGGCGATCAGCCTTCTTTATGGTCCAGCTCTCACTTCCATACATCCCTACTGGGAAAACCATGGCTTTAACTATACAAACCTTTGTTGGCAAGGTGATGTCTCTGCTTTTTAAGATGCTGTCTAGGTTTGTCATTGCTTTTCTCCCAAGAAGCAGGCGTCTTTTAATTGCGTGACTGCTGTCACCATCTGCAGTGATCATGGAGCCCAAGAAAGTAAAATCTCTCACTGCCTCCATTTCTTCCCTTTCTATTTGCCAGGAGGTGATGGGCCCAGTAGCCATGATCTTAGTTTTTTTGATGTTGAGCTTCAGACCATATTTTGTGCTCTCCTAGAGGGTAGGGACAACATTATACAGTATTGGGTGCGGAGCAAGAGCTAGAAAGATTTTTTATTTCTCTATCATACCACAACACCTGCGGTATCCAATGAAACGATATGTTGGAAGATTCAGGATGAAGAAAATACCTCTTTACACAATGCATAGTTAAACTGTGGAGGTGGTTCCCATGGGATGTAATCTTACATGGCTTTAAAAGAGGATTAAGAGACATTCACGGCAGATTAGGCTCTCAGTGGCCAGTAGGCATGATGACTATGCTGTGCCTCCACTTTCAAAAGTTACTGGGGATCACAAGTGGGGAGAATTCTGCTGGTGGATTTCCCATGGTCCTCTGGTTTCCCATTGTGAGAACAGATGCTAGACTAGATGGGCCATTGGTGTGATCAGGCAGATCTTATGACTAGACATCAGACTTGGAGGGAGAAGGGGAGAAGAAGGAAAAATGAGGGCTTCCCCTAAGGCAAGAAATATGGTAAAAAAGAGATGAAAGGGTGGCAAGTCTCCTGGAACTTTAGTAGTTGTGTAGAAGAGGGCATTTCAGAAGCTGCAGCTTGCACAACAAGCCCTGAATTTGTTCTTCTTGTACAATAGCCCCACAATATAACACAGGGGACTCACTGTGAGATACTTATCAAGTTTGAGGGGTTGCCTTGTCAATGGAGAAAAACCTGGATCACGAGGAGCTACAGTTGGAAGGGGTAATTTAGAGAGGCTGTCTGTGCGCATAGACATATTTGGTTATACACACACACACACAACACTTTGGATCCAGGCTGCATAATTTCAGATGCTACACAGAACTGGTGCCCTAACTCTGATTTCAGTTGCGGTGTCCATCTGCTTATTAGATACAGTGGCATCAGAATTCTCAAATGGCATTTTCAAAATGCTCAGTAGTAGTCAATGAACATCTTTGGCAAAGAGGCGTTACAGCATCTCCCTGATCAGACTGGCTGGGGTGATGTTTTGTGGTGGATGGGTTCTGTTTTGACTTTTTGAGATTAGGTTCACTTGCACGAGTCTTCTGCTCTGCGCTCACCAAGATATGTCCACCTTGTCGTCTGCTAACAACAGACTTTGGCTTGGCATCATCCTCAAGATTGACGAACCATTTCATTTCATTTATTGATTGCATTTATATCTAGAAGGTTACCGGAATGGGTAGGCGTAAGGCAGCAGGGTGCCCTGTGGGTGGGCTCTGAAGTGCCCGGTTCTGTGCCTGCATCCTGGCAAACTCTCTGCTGCCTCCCCACATCCCTCCCAGTGACTGGCAGCAGCATGTGGCACTGGGAAGTCAGGTCAACAGTGATGCCTCACCCATGCCTCTTCTCCGGCCACCGCTGTTTATATCCCATCTTTCCCCCCAAGGCAGCATACATCATTCCCTCCCCCCCCCATTTACCTTCACAACAACCCAAAGAGTTAGGTTAGGCTGAGAAATACTGGCCTGCAGTTTACCAGTAAGCTCTGTGGAGATTTGAACTTTGATCTCTCTAGTCCAACATTCTAGCCTCCACTCCAAACTGGCTATGGTGTAGTAGGCATTCGCTTGTGTTTCAAACCTAGCAACAGCAAGAAAAGAAATAGTGTCCTAGATCTTCGGAGTACATGCATGGCAAACAAATGACAGAGTTCAGTTTAGAAACCACCAGCAACTGATTCATGGCTCTGTACGGTGGTACCTTGGTTTACGAACTTAATCTGTTCCGGAAGTCCGTTCTGAAACCAAAACATTCTTAAACCAAGGCATGCTTCCCCATAGCAGCGGGGGTCTCAATTTACAAATGGAACACACTCAACAAGAAGCGAAACATTTTCTGCTTCCAAGGCAAAGTTCACAAACCAAAACACCTACTTCCGGGTTTGCGGCATTCTTAATCCAAATTGTTCATAAACTAAGCTGTTCTTAAGGTACCACTGTATTTAACTGGCCATCACTGTCTTCTCTGGCTATTGTGGAGCACTAAATCTGAGGGTAGGAAGGTCAGGTGGTCCCAATAAAGCATCACCTGTGTCTTTCCCCTTGCTATGGTGCAAGAAATAGGTATGGCGTTCTTATTATTGTTTTGTATTGACTCATTTTGCAGTTTTTCAGTGTGTAGATGATGGACTTCTCTTTCCAGGTTCCCTCTGCTTTCCTAATAATTCTCTCCTTTGGTGAGTCAAAAATTATAACTTGGCACATGACTCAGGAAAGAGAAGAAGGCAAACTTCTCTCCCCTCTCTCCCCTCCATATCAAATTGACAGTGGGAGAAGAACCTCGAGTTACGTGCTTTGCAGCAGGAGTTCCGCATTTAGTCACTGCCGTTGCTTGACTTGGCTGGAGTGGATGTTCCTGGCTATTTCGGTCACTCCTCACCTCTGCCTGCGAGATCCATCAATCACTTTAATTATAATGGAACATAGAGCCAGCAACTGAAGGAGAAAAATCAACCCAATCTGAAGAGCAATCTTTCTTGATGAATTCTCCCCCTAAATCGAAACAATTCGCTGGGTAACCCAGCTGGGGTTCATATGCTTTTGATTACTGTGGGCTATTTAGCTCTACAAAATGACATGCTGCTTAATGGACTTTTAATGGTTATAGGTTTCTCTCTCTTTCTCTCTCTTTTTTTAATGAGCTTCACCAGTTTGTTACTAATGCCCTGTGGAAATCTGGCCCTTTGCCAGATCTGATGTTACAAATGTTCTGGTTTCTCCGAGGCATAAACGCAACCAACATGTGGAAGTGGGTGTTGCCGACTGCACTCTAATGCCATTAAAAAGACGGAGCAAAATTGTGTACCCTGCAGTCCTACAAATTACATTGTCTTTGAGAGCACAGATAACACTTCTCAGCTGAAGCCGTGTTCGTGGGCTCACCTTTGGAGGAATGCCAAAGCACATGGGCCGAGACTGGCTCAAAGACCACAGCCTCCTCCCCCTGTTACTGTACTTGCCTCCTAGGTAGCTGCATCACATGATGGTTTTATTGGACTAGCAGGGACCAATCTTCCTGATGGACATGATGGACTAATAATAATAATAATAATAATAATAATAATAATAATAAGGTATCACAGATGCTAGCTTATAATGAGAGATGGGCAACTCTGTCAATTTTGGTTTCCCCACTATTCATTTATTTTCCCATTGTTAAGTTCCATTTGCCATATATCTGCATCAGCTTGCATTTTTTTAAAAAAAAAGTTATCATGAAAACGCGTCAGCATTTTAGTGCTCATTTTTAGTGCTCCCTTAATATGCACATTTTGGAAGCAATTCCCAGTAATAGAATGTATTTTTCATTTGTTATTTTCACAAATGTATACATCATAAGCACACTTCCCCTCAATATGTACCCTTTTTTGGGAGGGCTGGAGAACTGCGTCACAAGATTTGGAGAAGTGCAAATTTTAAAGGATAGCTGTGGTTTGGTCCGCATGTTGTTTCAGAGAGTGTGGATGGTGTAGGTTTACACTGAAATGTTAACCAATCCAGATACACCTCCGCCTCTACTTATGATAGACAGCTAGCTACCGTGCGAGGAATTTCTCTATGTGAAGATGGCCCCAGAGTCTGGGAGAGGAAGTCCAAAATGATTGCCAAGGGGTAGAAATGTGTTTGCTGATCTTTCAGAATATGGGATTCACATGGCTGAGAGGAAACATGAGGCTGATTCTAAGTGGGGAAGGAAGCAGGAAATAGTCAGTGCTGGCGAGGGAAAATTGAAAAACTAAAGGCCCCCATCCATTGACAGATGGAGATGGGGAAAAAGTTTGATGCAGTTCATATTTAAAGGTGAATCAAATTTGCACTTACTTGAAACAATATGTTAACCGAAATGTTGAGATCCTTTGAAATTTGCACTTTTCTGAATTTTGCAATGTAATTATCCAGCCTCGTTATACCTGAAAAAAGAAGTTAAAGCATATACCAGAATAAACTGTGCATCAAAATGTATATATTAGTGAAAATAACATATAAAAATGCATTCTACTGGGGGAAAGTACATTGCAAAAATGTGCACAATCGCCCAATGTGCATATAAAATGTGTATATGAGAAGCTGGCACTAAAATGCTCGTGGATTCTCATGAGCACTTTAAAAAAAAAAGGCAAGCTGATGAGGAAATCTGGAAAACTGAATTGTAAGACTGGAAAAATTAAAACTGAGAAAAGCCAAATTTGACAGATTTGCCCATTCCTAGTAGCACATGAAATAGTAGCACAGATTTGCCCATTCCTAGTAGCCCATTGAGAGTCCCATGGACTGCAAGAAGATCAAACCTCTCCATTCTTAAGGAAATCAACCCTGAGTGCTCACTGGAAGGACAGATCGTGAAGCTGAGGCTCCAATACTTTGGCCACCTCATGAGAAGAGAAGACTCCCTGGAAAGACCCTGATGTTGGGAAAGATGGAGGGCAGAAGGAGAAGGGGACGACAGAGGACGAGATGGTTGGACGGTGTTCTCGAAGCTACCAGCATGAGTTTGAGCAAACTGGGAGGCATTGGAAGACAGGAGTGCCTGGCATACTCTGGTCCATGGGGTCACGAAGAGTCGGACACGACTAAACAACAACAACAACAGTAGCACATGAATATAGAGCTGTGCTTTTTGGTTTGACCAGTAATTAGCCTTTCAGAATTTGGATATGCAAAGGCCAAGCCAGTGGTGAGAGGTGAGAGATTTGAGATCAGCGTATAACTGCAGAATTTTTAAGAAGTTTGTATGAACTGGGTTGGTGGAGTGGAGGAATTGGCTGCATACCTGTTTTCCATCCTTTTGTTATTTTGTTTTGCTTAAGTAAATTTTCTTCCCAGAATGCAGAATCTGCATGCTTAGATTTCAGAATGTAAAAGGTCTGTTTCTCTTATTTATTGAACTTCCTCTTGCCTCCTCTCAGCCTTCCCCGGCCCCCTCACACTTCTGTATAATATGACTTTATCTGTCAGGAAAAGAAATAGTCCGTCACTCAGTTATTTCCATGACTAATATTCTGTGACTAAATATGGCGAGTCCTTCAGCTCAGCAAAAGCACGCTAATAAAGTGGAACTAGAAATCCTCTCAAGGAGCGACAGAAGGGAAACTGGATGGTGTCTCTTGCTGGATTGTCTGCGAAAGCCTCTAAGATATTTGTTTGTGTGCCACTTAACTTTGTTCGTAGCTCGAGCAATTTCTTTGATCAGTAGTCTTCAATGTTCTCATAGAATCATAGAATCATAGAGTTGGAAGAGACCACAAGGGCCATCGAGTCCAACCCCCTGCCAAGCAGGAAACACCATCAGAGCATTCCTGACATATGGTTGTCAAGCCTCTGCTTAAAGACCTCCAAAGAAGGAGACTCCACCACACTCCTTGGCAGCAAATTCCACTGTCGAACAGCTCTTACTGTCAGGAAGTTCTTCCTAATGTTTAGGTGGAATCTTCTTTCTTGTAGTTTGGATCCATTGCTCCATGTCCGCTTCTCTGGAGCAGCAGAAAACAACCTTTCTCCCTCCTCTAAGTGACATCCTTTTATATATTTGAACATGGCTATCATATCACCCCTTAACCTCCTCTTCTCCAGGCTAAACATGCCCAGCTCCCTTAGCCGTTCCTCATAAGGCATCGTTTCCAGGCCTTTGACCATTTTGGTTGCCCTCCTCTGGACACGTTCCAGTTTGTCAGTGTCCTTCTTGAACTGTGGTGCCCAGAACTGGACACAGTACTCCAGGTGAGGTCTGACCAGAGCAGAATACAGTGGCACTATTACTTCCCTTGATCTAGATGCTATACTCCTATTGATGCAGCCCAGAATTGCATTGGCTTTTTTAGCTGCCGCGTCACACTGTTGGCTCATGTCAAGTTTGTGGTCAACCAAGACTCCTAGATCCTTTTCACATGTACTGCTCTCAAGCCAGGTGTCCCCCATCTTGTATTTGTGCCTCTCATTTTTTTTGCCCAAGTGCAATACTTTACATTTCTCCCTGTTAAAGTTCATTTTGTTTGTTTTGGCTCAGTTCTCTAATCTGTCAAGGTCGTTTTGAAGTGTGATCCTGTCCTCTGGGGTGTTAGCCACCCCTCCCAGTTTGGTGTCATCTGCAAATTTGATCAGGATGCCCTTGAGTCCATCATCCAAGTCATTGATAAAGATGTTGAATAAGACCGGGACACCACCTTTAACCCCCAAAATGCATTTGGGGACCCATTTTTTGCCATCATATCTGTATGGTGGTGATGCTGCTGTCGCAATGGGACATGGGATGCAGGAAAGGTTCAGCTCCTCTCACCTATGCAAACTTTTGTTATGAAATCAGATGCCATAAGCCCCACCCTTTATATGTAAATGGGGCAGGCTTGGGAATATAAAAGCATTGCCATCCGACCCAATCATACTTATCCCTGTTCCTGTGGGAGAAAGGTTGCCAGCTTTTTTCCTGGGCAGCTCTCCTGTGCCTTTAACACAGACATAAGGAGCAGAATTTCAGGAGATGATGCTTTCCCCATCACAGTATCTGCAGGCTAGGAAAATGTAATTGTTGAATTTTTGTTGGCTATGCAGCTATTAGCGCAAGGGTGGGGAAAGTTGGACCTGGTTGCCAAATCCTATCTTATCATGACCCCTCAGAAGTTGGTAAAATTACTAAAGAATCATGGCAAGAAAAATTGACGGGCTATGCAGAACTGGCAAAACTGACATATAAGCTACGGGAAAAGGATAACTGTGACTTTAAGGATGAATGGGAACCCTTTACAAAGTATCTGAAGAAGCAACAAAGCGAACTGGACTCCTTGGCAGGTTTTGAATAAACATTCACAAACTTTTTATTGATAATAATCAGCTAAATAGTTTGAGGATCTATACAACTTTGTAACATGCAGAAAACAGCAGTCTCAGAGAAACCAAAGACTGGAACTGAGGGAAGTCGGGGGGGGTGTTGTGTGGGAGAATGGGGGGGGGACAAGGATGATACGTTTTTGAATAATATGTCTCGTTTTAATTTTGAATTTATTTTTTTTAAATCCTGTTTGAGGGTTTTGCACAGGCATCTAGTTGGCCCCATGAGAAGAGGATGCTAGACTAGATGGACTAGTGACCTGATTCAACAGGCTCTTTTTGTGTTCTTAGGCTGCTTCCACATGGCAGGTGATTGTGGGCTCTGTACTACTCTTAAAAGAAAAAAATTATAAAGATTTTTGTTGGGGATTGTAGGGAAAACCTGCCAAAAAAGCTGAAAAACATCTTCATGTATGCGACAACGGCCACGAGAGTTCTGGTAGCACAAGGATGGAAGACTGAAGAAACCCCAACTAAAGAATCATGGAAAGAAAAATTGATGGACTATGCAGAACTGGCAAAACTGACATACAAACTACGGGACAAGCATAACTGTGACTTTAAGGATGAATGGGAACCCTTTACAAAGTATCTGAAGATGCAACAAAGCGAACTGGACTCCTTGGCAGGTTCTGAATAAACATTCAAAAATTTTTTATTGATAATAATCAGCTAAACAGTTTGAGGATCTATACAACTTTGTAACATGCAGAAAACAGCAGTCTCAGAGAAACCAAAGACTGGAACTGAGGGAAGTCGGGGGGGGGGGGGGTTGTGTGGGAGAATGGGGGAGGGAGGAAAAATGGGGGGGGGGGAAACAAGGATGATATGTTTTTGGATAATATGTCTTGTTATAATTTTGAATAAAAAAAAAGAGACGTTGGTAAAATTATTTATTCTTAAAATATAAACTACGTACCCTCCCTGATCCCACTTCTAACAGGGTAAGGCTCATTATGAATTTTTAGGGGCTGAAAACACTGCAATTTAGTCCTTGACGTCTCAAACTCTACATTTCTCTGGCAGAAAATAAAGTAGTAGGGCAAAGCAGGAATATAATTTTGGATAACGTTGAGGGGTTAATAAAGAAGTGAAGCTGAGAAGGAGAAAACGACTGCCTTGATAGTTTTGGGAAGTGGGGACTATGCCAACTTAAAAAAACAACAACACAACCTCCTTGTATAGATTTTTCCATTACTTTTCCATATTGCTCTCAGAGGGCTACTGTTTGGGATAGCCCATTTGCTTTGTGGCTGAACCCATAAGTCTTTTCTAAATCCCTTCACGTTGTGAAGCCATAAAGCGAGGACACCAGCCGTGCTGCTGCTTGCAATTCCCAAGATGTCCAGAGAGATGGTAAACAAAAGTCTTTTGTACCATATGAAATAAGCTTCTTGCGCTCCTCTGCACAGCCTCTTGTCATAAGAGTAAGTCATGTGTATCAAAAGCCCTTTAGATGCCAAAGTTTGTTTTCATATCTAGCCAGCTTTCTGCTGAAGTCCCTTTGTGGCGTGGCAATGAAAATATTTGTTTATATTTGAACAGCGCTGCGGTTGTGATACAGGAACTGTTTCAGTGAATGGAACAGCTATTTCCTAAAGAGCTTTCTTTGAAAACATTTTCGCTGGCCTCTTCCAACTGTCAATGGATTTTGACTCCTGTTTACACTAAAACAATAGGAGGCCCTCCATAAATTAATATGTTGGAAACACTCGTGCCTGAGAGTGATATATATATATATATATATATATATATATATATATATATATATACACACACACACACACACACACACACACACACACACTCACTCACACTGATTTATTCCTTCTGGCCCTGTCCTTTTATCACTTACCCCTTTTCTGTTGTGTTATAAATTTAAACTCCCACATTTTGGCTAGTGCTGCTAAAAGTAAAACAATTGACCATTTAAACTTCATGTCACTATAGTGGCAATTTTGCTTGAAAGTCTGGATGTGCGGTTGTGTCAATAACAGTTGCCTAAGCAAATAATATGCTTATGCAAATAATGCGCTTATGCAAATAATTTGCTTTACTACCAGCCCTCTAACCAGAGGGTTCTTTCAAATAGAGGACTGTCCTCCTACAGTTCTACAAACAGAGGACTGGCATCTGTAAAGTAGCCACCATGGCTGCCCCGCTAGCTTGTGCTGAGAAAAAGAGAGAGAGCTTGAGCACTCAATAAAACCTGGGTAGTAGAACTCTGGATTCTGACAGGTTGGGACGCGGGTGGCGCTGTGGTCTAAAGCACTGAGCCTCTTGGGCTTGCTGATCAGAAGGTCAGCAGTTTGAATCCCTGTGGCGGGGTGAGCTCCTGTTGCTTGGTCCCAGCTCCTGTCAACCTAGCAGTTTGAAAGCACGCCAGTGCAAGTAGATAAATAGGTACTGCTGTGGCAGGAAGGTAAATGGCATTTCCGTGCGCTGCTCTGGTTCCCATTGTGCCAGAAGTGGTTTAGTCCTGCTGGCCACATGACCCGCAAAGCTGTCTGTGGACAAACGCTGGCTCCCTCGGCCTGAAAGCAAGATTAGTGCTACAATTCCATAGTCACCTTTGACTGGACTTCACCGTCCAGGGGTCCTTTACTTTTTAAAAAAACCTCTAATAGGTTAGAGCTGCTAGGTTCATGTAGGGGGCTTCTATTTGAGTGGGCTCATCAATGTCCTCCAGATGTTTTCAGACTCCAATGCCCATCAGCCCCAGCCAGCAATTGCCAATGGTCCTCAAAAAAGCCTGTCTCTTGGGTCTAAGCTGGCATCACAATGACCTGCCATTTCTGCCCGCTGAATGTGTTGGGGGGGGGAGGTTGCTGGTGAAATCCCTCTCTGCGGCTGCCAGCAAAAGTCCCTCCCCTCCAGATGGGATGTTCCAAGGGTGGGGAAGGACTGGTGGGGACTTATGGAATGGTGGCGCCATCGCTACTTCCACCCTGAGCATAGGGCCAGAATAGAATGTGGTGGGGTAGTAACATGGCTACACCATTCTGGTATTGTTTTTTTTTTAAAAAAAAACATTTATAATTTTCAGATATATAAATTTCACTGATTTTACAATCATTTTGACATTTTAAAACTTGACTTCGTCCCCCCTCTTTCTACGGTTCCTTAAATTTACCTTTAATATCTTCTACCTATCCAAATTCACTTAACTTATTTATTTATCTTCTTTAAATATATACTCTTATGTAACTGCAGGTTATTACAATAATCTTGCCAGTGTTTACAGTTTAAATGTCTGTTTACAATTTATATGTAAATATTCAATAAACCATTTCCATTCTTTTATAAAAAGTTTGTTATCTTGATTTCTTATTCTTCCGGCGAAGTTTGTTTGTTATCTTGATTTCTTCTTCTTCTTCTTATTCTTTTGCCATTTCTGCATATTCCATAAGTTTTTGTATCCATTCTTCCTTTGCTGGGACTTCTGCTTCTTTCCATTTTTAGGCAAGTAACATTCTTGCCGCTGCAGTCGCATACATGAATAAGTTTCTACACAATTTAGGTAGTTCTGTCCCTATAATTCCCAAAAGAAAGGGTTCTGGGGTTTTTTTTAAATGCAAACGTTATTTTAAACATCTTTTTCATTTCACTGTATATCATTTCCCAGTAAGCATTAACCTTACTGCAAGACCACCACATATGATTAAAAAGAATCTTCTTTCTCTTTCCATTTCCAACACCGATTTGATTTAGATTCAGACATTTTTGCCAGTTTACATTGCTACACTAATCTGGGGCTGGTGCCGTTACACTCAGCTCCTCTGCACCACCAGAACTCCTAGCGTCACGATCGTCTGCTGGCTGCTGCCACTTGGACTCCCACCAGCACATATATTTCAGAGTATACATCCATAGGATTGCATTGTTAGTCTGCTTTGGTCACTAAGCAAAATTTAGCTTTCATAGGAGGTTTCCCAAATAGCCCCCTTTTGTTCTGCAGGACTAAGAGGAGATGAAATGAGAAGGAGAGGAATGAATTCATTGCTTTGGTACCAAAACAAATATTGCTTGCCCCTTATTTACTCACTTGTAAGAAATAGGCCTCGAGGAGGACACTAACTTTGGAGGAAAGTGACTCTGCTAGGTGTCTATCTGTCTTGTAAGTATGCAAACTTAATATCATGGGCAGGCCTAATAAATTCCACATTTAGAATTCATTACTGTAAATAATGTGTTTCAAACCAGCCCATTAAATGCATTCAATAACATGTGGTTGCTTATGACTATTGGGATAATGTGATTAGGCAGGTTCATTAGCTTCTCCAACCACTTCCCCCTGAGCAGCCCCCTGAGTCTGATTGGGACGACTTTTGGGTAAGTGGGTTGAGGCCTGTGGCTTCATTGTGGCAGACGGTTCAGAACTAGGTAGCTTTTTAAAGCCCGAACTCCCGTGACACGTCCCACATCACCTCGTCCACCTAACAGAAGTAGAGGATGAGAGATTGGTTGCCCTTCAGCATTCCTTCAGCCCGGACATCTCTCCTCAGACCCAGAACCATTGCCAAGGGTGCTAATCCCATCTCTTGGAAACAAAAAGGTTAACTGTACCCTATTCACGAGCTAAAATAGGTTTCCAAGAACAATAAAATTCTGCTTGAAAGGTGGATGAACGCATCTCTCATCACCCAGGGCTGTGAGGATGCAATAGAAATTCCGGTCAGTCAGCACAGAGGACTCCTCGTGACTGTTCTGTGCAAGGGTAAATCAAGCTGGGCTGGGATTGTGAGTGTGGCGTCAGTTTGTGGTGGGGTCTTAGTGTGCTTCTGCCATAGGATGCCAGATTCTTTGTTATGTACTGAGTTGAATAGGATCCAAAAGGCAGCAGTCTGATTGGTCCTAGAACAATAGGGTCCAGAATGCAGCAGTCTGATTGGCCCACAGGAGCCACCCAATCCAGCTCCAGGTGGAAGTGAATCCGCAAACTGATTGGCCTACAGGAGAACCCCGGAATTAGCCAACCATGTGGGGCCCATTGTGTAAATAATGTATATAAAGCAGACATTCTGGGGGAACTTCCATTCCTCCTCACCACCATGAGCTGAATAAAGAGCATGAAATCCACTCTCGACTCCGAGGTTATTTCATTCTTCTTGCGGGGGAAGGGCTCCAGTGCTCCTCTTATAAGACTCCTCTTATCCTTGCTCCAAGTGTACTGACTGAGCTGTGAGTCCTCCATCTTCCCTAGTAGACAGGATGGGGTGACACTTGAGGGGAAGAGAGAGAGAGAGAGATCCCTCCTTGCCCTGCCCTGCGCCCCTATGGCCTTCCCTGCCTGGCTTCTCAGGCTCTGCCTCTTCCCCAAGTGAGGGACTGGGGCTGTTTATGCAAGTGCATTCTGGGATCGCTGGTGGAGCGTTGCCCCAAGGCATTTGCCCCTGCTCAGCTGGTTCCTGCAATGCAGGCAGGGGGCACAGCTGGAATCCCATACAAGGCCCTGCTGCCACTTCTGCGGGGCCACACAATCTCTGCCTTCATTCTCCAACATTTCTCCCATGAAAATAGGGACGTCCCGTTCCATAATGATAATTTTACTATTTATACCCTGCACATCTTACTGGGTTGCCCCAGCCACTCTGGGCAGCTTCCAACATATAGAAAATAATAATAATAATAATAATAATAATAATAATAATAATAATATAAATAACAACAACTTATTATTTGTACTCCGCCCATCTGGCTGGGTTTCCCCAGCCACTCTGGGCAGCTTCCAACAAAGATTAAAAATACATGAAAATGTCACACATTAAAAGCTTCCCTAAACAGGGCTGCCTTCAGATGTCTTCTAAATGTTAGGTAGTTGTTTATCTCTTTGACATCTGATGAGAGGGTGTTCCACAGGGCGGGCGCCACTACCGAGAAGGCCCTCTGCCTGGTTCCCTGTAACCTCACTTCTCACAGTGAGAGAACCGCCAGAAGGCCCTCGGCGCTGGACCTCAGTGTCTGGGCAGAACGATATGGGTGGAGAAGCTCCTTCAGGTATACTGGACCGAGGCAGTTTAGGGCTTTAAAGGTCAGCACCAACACTTTGAATTGTGCTCGGAAACGTACTGGGAGCCGATGTAGCTCTTTCTGGACCGGTGTTATATGGTCTTGGTTAAATAAAACATTAAACTTAAAAAAACACTTCCCTATACAGGATTGCCATTAGATGGCTCAGGAGTTGCATACAGTGGTACCTCGCAAGACGAATGCCTCGCAAGACGGAAAACTCGCAAAACGAAAGGGTTTTGGTTTTTTCAGTTGCTTCGCAAGACGATTTTCCTGTCTTGCAATGTCTTGCAAGTTTGTTTCCTTTTTCTTAAAACCGTTAATACAGTTGCGACTTGACTTCGAGGAGCAACTCATAGCACGCGGTGTGGTAGCCTTTTTTGAGGTTTTTGAAGACTTTGGTGATTTTTGAAGCTTTTCCAAAACTTTCCCGACACCGTGCTTCGCAAGACGAAAAAACCGCAAGACGAAAAAACTCGCGGAACGAATTAATTTCGTCTTGCGAGGCACCACTGTAACTCCATACCCTCCAACATTTCTGGAATGAAAAGGTGGACATCCAAAGGAAAAGGAGGACATTCTGGGATCAAATCAGAAACTGGGATGGCTTCTCTAAATCAGGGATGTCACTGGAAAACAGGGACACTTGGAGGGTTCGAGAGTGATGAGCAGAGGGAAGGCTGCTGCCTGTTTCAGAGGAGCTACCAGGCCTTCTGAGCACATCATTCATTGGTTCAGGGATGCCAACCTGCGCCAAAGATTGAGGGGCCCCAGCATTGCACGTGTGATGCCATGCGTACAATGTTGCATTGGCAGGAGGAGGCCAAGCATGGCGTGGCTTCAATGGCTGGCCGCTCCTCCTCTCTTGCGCTCAGCCTCTTTTTACGGCAGGAGGAGGAGGAGCTGCCCACCGGATCAAAACTGGGCAAACTAAAGATGCAAGCTGGGCATTAATTGGAAAGAAGGGTTTGGGATGCTACCACAATCTACCAAAACACTGTCTAATGTTGCTGCTTCATAAAACGGAACTTGCAAAATCACAAGAAACACATGAGATCATGCCTAATAATTTCCATCAGCAGTCCTCCCCCAAAGTAGAATTCACTCTCTTAACAAACTTTGCCAGTCACTAAGGAGACACCCTGGCATTCTCCATAAGCTAGAGCTATACACTATACTTTCGCAAAGCTTCTTCTTCTCCCCCTTCAACCTGGTTCTACTTTGGACAGACACTTGCCTTCAGTATGTTTTTGGGGTCTGAGTCACCAAGTTATGGGAAGCATTTTTGCTTTAGCTCATGATTGATCCAAAAGTGCTGCGCATGCCTCTTTTGTGTGAAGGAGGTGATGTTCTGAAATGCGATTTTGCTGAAAGTAAGAGAAAAACATGGCAAGTGTTGATTCTACGCGTGATGGCCATAGACTGCATTCATTCATTCATTTCTTAGATTTATATCCTGAAACGTAAGCGTAGATGTTGTTCCCAGGAGGTTGCCCGCCCAGTTACTGACCAGACCAAGACCTGCTTAGCTTCAGCCAGTTGGTGACTTCATGTACCTTCAGAGCATTCTCTGAATTTAGTTCTAAAAATATTAGAAGGGAATCCATGAGGAGAATCAAACATCCTTGCTTACTCATATGTAAATGTGTTTCTATAAACGCAGTGCTAACAGGGTTCCTTTGATGTTCCCAAGAGATCCTTTCCCATTTCCTCCTCCTCAGCCCACTGCTGGGGAACGCCGTCATAATTTGGCCTTAAAAATCTATTCCATCTTTCACATGGACTGAACTAGTGTTAGAGTTCACCAAGATGTGGCCCTAAAATATGTAATCTCACAGAGGCACTTTTGTATGTACACAAAAGGTTTGCTACTTTTGTATGGGTTCTGCTCCTAGGCTTCTAACAGAAATTTCTCCTGCACAGAAATTTCAGCGATGAGCTTTTTCTTGATACAGAACTATGTAGTACAAAAGTTTCATCTGCTTAATTTCTGTGTCCAGTTACTGTAGCTTGAAAACCATGCTACAGACACTTTAAGAAGCAGATTATATTGTATTTAGAGAAGTCTCCCCTGCCCCTGAAGTTTGCAAACTGATGTGGAGGAAAACAAATGAGGATCTGAGAGAAACCAAAATTGACAGATTCCTCCACTCCCAGTAGACACATATAGGACTCTGCCGTATGTCTTAGTGTTGCTCCTGTAAATTGGCTCCTAGACCAGAAGGTGTGGATTTTTTTAAAAATGCCTCTTCCCCCCCTCCCTGCCCAACACAATCAGTAGCGAGTAATTAAGCCTAGCTCCTTGGATGGAGAATTCAGGCAGAGTGACCCCCTCCTAGTTCCCCCCTGCTGTGTAGCTGAGCCTTACAATTATGAGCTTATGTACCTGATATGTGACACTCTGGCATCTTTAGTATGTCACAGGTTGTGACAGATCTGCTGGCAAGGCTTTGCACTGGCTCTCGGTTTTCAGAATTAGGAACAGGAAGAATTTGGAACTGCAGAGGGCAGTATAAGACCACAGCTGGTGCTGGCAGCTGGCTGGAGGTGAACTGCCCTTCTTAACGCAGACCACCTGTATGGAGTTCCAAGGGTGTCTCCAAAATTATGTAAGCAAAATGACCTTTTCATTTATAGGGGATATGCATTTAGCTTGAGTAAAGGAATTTGAGGGGTGTTGGGGCGGTAGGAATTTCTCCCAAAGAGCTCACTCATTTCCCCCTCATTTCCCCCCAAAAGCCTCTGCTAATTGCTAGTTGGGCAGTACATTTTCCTCCTGGCTGGCACTCTGTGGCAGGGAGTTGCAAAGGCTTTGCAAAGATCTTCCCCCCAAGCTTGCAGGCTGCTATGTGAGCCCTGAACCTGAGCAGAAGCCCTCAGCAAAGCAGGTGAGGTGGAAGCAGTGCCCCAACAGCCTGCTGGGATAGCACACCTGATGTATGTGTCTGGCTGGCTGGGGTCACGAGAAGGCATGTGGGGAGCTGAAAGGAAGGAGTTCGAATCAGCGCTCAAGTCTTGCAAAGGGGAGCGTGCGGGAAACTTGCCATGCATTCTCCGTTCTTTCCCTTTTTTTTGGTAATCAGATACAAATCTTAAGGTTGCAACATCTGTGTTTCAGGCCTTTTCCAGACTTTCCATTTGTAAAATGATCCGTGCAGAGTCATTGGCTGTCGTCCAAAGAGCTACTTTAGGTGCACCCAATGGTTTGGGCAGGCCCAATGGGAGTCTGTTTAAAAACTTTCCCCTTTGAAGGCAAACTCCCATGCAGCCTCAGAAGCGGCTTTCCATACCTTCCCCGGTTTCGGAAGAGGTTTGCCATGCCTGCATTCTTGGGGGTCCAAGGCTCCTTTGGGCACCCAGAACTAGCTGTGTGGTTCTTTGGATCCCCATCATTTCCATTTATTGTTAGCAGCCCAGACAACCTCCCTCGAGGTTGCATTCCTGTGGCGGAGATCCTGCTCTTTCTCAGCACTCAAAGAACAATATTTTGTCATGATGAAACCTAGATTCTTCCCCCCAGTTAGTGCATCCGTTGTGATGGCTGTCACAGACGCGAGCTATAGAAATTACGTCATGGGCACCTATTGGCTAATGTCTGTGGTGTAGAATTTTCACACCACCTGTTTGAAAACACACAGCTTTCAGCAGAAGTACAAAGACACTGGCCAATTTAATCAACCCAACTTCTCTTTTACTGAAAAGTTATAGCTCCATTTATTCTGAAAAGTCTACTATTGCACCGGGGGTGGGGGGTGGGGGTGGCATTCAAGCTGTCTGGAAATTCTGATTCCAAGCTGGCTGGTAAACAATTTTGAAAAATAAAATAAAATCTAACTTCAATAATTATTGGCCAACCCATGGCAGATAAAGCTGAACATTGTGGCATTTCTACTGCCCGAAAATGAGGAACTGCTTGTTGGTATATTTAAGTTTGGCACCAGTGCTCAGCACCCTCGGACAGTTGCCAAGGTCTCTGTCGTCCAACTGAGCCCACTGGAACTGGTCCCAAGCCTGGGCCACACCTGCTGTTGCTCCTGGGTCATATGCAAAATTTAAATGGTTCCCCTCTGTTGCTGCTGTCAGGTCAGCTAATGGCTTGGGAGAATTGCACATTGCAATCAGGTATTACTAAAAAAAGAAATTGATTGGCCATGCAAAATTTCATGGACCAGCTTTAATTTTTTTCATGTGCAGATGCACACTCCCTCACACAAAGGAGTGATCTACCCAGTTCTGTTTCTTGCATGCGCATGCGCAGTTGATCATATCTCTCTAACACATGCACACACACAATCTGTCTTAAAAAAAATCTTTGTGCTCCAGCACACCTCCCCATCTGCTGACACCATACATATAAGAAAATGCAAAGCACTAGCAGAATGCAGTGCATATATTGAAATGTGTGTGTACCCATGAATCTCTCAGCCTGGGCCTCTGAATTCCTAGAATTGCTTATATAGGGGAGAAATTGCCAAGACAGGTCCTTAAATGAGATTTTATAAATGAGCTCAGAAAGAGCCTCTTCATAATTTATTCCTGGATGGAGACAGAGATCAAGGCTGCCCCAAGGGGCAAGTCTTATTAGGCCAACTGGCCTTTTCCTTCCCTTCTAATGCCTCTTGCCCATAACTAACAATTCTCTTTGCAAAAGGTTAATAAAATATCAGCCTCATTTTCAAGTTTGCTTTAACACTTTCCTTGCAGACAGAGGGCCAATGCAAGCCAGCTAGTTACTGCACTGTGTTTCCTGAGTCTAATCCTTCTCTCTAAAGCTGAGAACATAAAATAGTTTTAAACAGCGTGTTTACCCCAAAGTAACCAGTGGGGCTTACTTCCAAGGACCTGGAACATGAAGTGATGGGAAAGAGGCATCACTTCTCATGATGAATTGCATTTCGTTACTATGGCCTCTGCTTCAAGAGGCCTTGCAAGTTTCTGAAGCAATACAAACCCTGCAAACCTGTTTACAAGGAGTGATGAGTGGTAAACACATACAACAAGCAGAAAACTCTTGGCTCATTCATCTTCAATCAGATTTGCAATGTAAATAGAAAAGTCTACATTGGCCACTCCTTTTTTCCCCACCTGAGCAATTATCAGATGCTTAAGCCAAGAGAATCTATATCAGGGGTAGGCAATTTAAGGCCCGTGGGCCGGATGTGGCCCAATTGCTTTCTAAATCTGGCCCGCAGACGGTCTGGCAATCAGCATGTTTTTACATGAGTAGAATGTGTGCTTTTATTTAAAATACATTTCTGGGTTATTTGTGGGGCATAGGAATTCATTCATAATTTTTTCAAAATATAGTCTGGCCCACCACATGGTATGAGGGACGGTGGACCGGCCCACAGCTGAAAAAGGTTGCCGACCCCTGATCTATATCTAACCCAGCTCTTGATGGAACTGCAAATTTGGGGAACTTTCCTGGAGGCAATGGAACACTAGAGGTGTTTTTTATATTTAGAAACACCAGGGTCCCCTTGTTTGATTTGGGGGAATTAGCCTTGACTAACTAATTCCTGTCTTATATTTTCTTGCTTTAATGAATTAGCAATACAGTACGCACACTGTTTGATATGATGACAATATTTATTTGCACAAAATAGCTAGCAGAGAACCAAATAGCCTTGCAACTTGAAGCAGCAGTCAGTGGCAAAGCTGCAGGCTCCGCTACCGGGGGCGGAGAGCAGGCGGAGGCGTGACTGGCGCCCTGGGGGGGGGTATAGCGTACATTCTGGGGGCATGGGGCGCCGCCCGCAGGTGTGGCACTTGTTCTGGGGGATTGGCGAGCTTCTTGTGTTGTCCTGGCACCCAGCATGCACAGGGGTGCGTGCGTGGGGGGGGCCATCACGATGGCACCCTACCAGAATAGTGGTATTGGGGGCGGTCCGCTCCCCCCACACCCCCGTTCCTCCGCCAGTAGCAGCAGTACTCATATATAAAGGAATCAAAATGATTAGGGGTTACAAATACACAGGCTACTCACCTCACATTTGCCTGGACCATGCACTTTGCAGTTTCTAACAGAGAGGTATATATAGAGAGACTCTGGGGCAGGTGTTTTTATCCCACAGAACTAAAAGGAGAGTAAATGAATGACAAAAGGGAAAGCTCACCAGCAAACCCTTGGGGTTTGGGGTCTCCCATGAGTTGTAGGTGGGTAAGATCTGAAAGATAAGTAAGAAGGTAAGTGAGGAGTGGAATCCAACAGTCACTTGTCCTGGGCAAGGTGAGAACACCAGAGTGTTCTCTTGTTAGTCATCGCCACTGGTTCGTAGATGGCTAGATGTTGGCTTAGAAGTTCCATGAAAAGTGCAAACAGAACCTCCTTCTCCAAAGCCAGGAAGGACAGCTGAAAACCAGCCCTTAGAGCTTTCTATAGTTGCTTAAAGGTAAAGGGTAAAGGGACCCCTGACAATTAGGTCCAGTCGTGGCCGACCCTGGGGTTGCGGTGCTCATCTTGCTTTATTGGCCAAGGGAGCTGGCGTACAGCTTCTGGGTCATGTGGCCAGCATGACTAAGCCACTTCTGGCAAACCAGAGCAGCGCACGGAAACACCGTTTACCTTCCTGCTGGAGCAGTACCTATTTATCTACGTGCACTATGATGTGCTTTCGAACTGCTAGGTTGGCAGAAGCTGGGACCGAGCAACGGGAGCTCACCCCATCGTGGGGATTAAAACTGCTGACCTTCTGATCAGCAAGCCCTAGGCTCTGTGGTTTAACCCACAGCGCCACCCACGTCCCTTTTTTTTTTGCTTAGATGCCTCCAATATAGTTAAAAATAGAAAAAGGCTCCCTTGTAGAAGACACTAGGTTGTGTGGCTCCTTCAAAGGGTGCCAACTAGCTCCAAAAAAAATGACAAACATGGATCAGAGGCAAGGGAATGAGGATGAGAGGGGAGGAGCAGAGAAATCAGAATCACTGCAGCACACATTCATTCATGCTCTATATTGACGTTCTTGCACAACCCTGCTCTCTCTCCATCCTGGTACACAACTGTGACTCCACTGTTGGAAGTGTAGCGGTGCCAAACTACTCATGGGTGCCAACATTATAATGCATGAAGCTACACTCCGCACTGGGAAGTTCATTAGCTACTTGAATTTCCATATTGACCTTCAGCGTAAATAAGAATAATGGTCATGACTTGGGTCTAAGTAGGAGTAGATGGAGGTGAGGAACACAGCAGTCCTAAATGCTCTGCTCTCTCCAGTGGTCTTGGATGCTGGGGGGACGAGTAGCAGTAATTGCCACAGCTCACAGGCACTCAGTTCCCTGTGAGTTCTGTCTTCGCTAGTCATGTCCCTTCTTTGGATCCTAGTCTGTCTTTCAAATGATTTAATTCATGTGAATTAAATAAGAAACTAAAGAGTCCATGCCATTCGGTATGTCAGCAGGACATTCTGCAACAGCCTTGGGTCTCCAGATATTGTTGGACTACAACTCCCATCATCCCTTGCTAGCAGGACCTGTGCTGAGGGATGGAGAGAGTTGTAGTCCAACAACATCTGGAGAAGCAAGGCTGTGAACTGAATGGGAAGACTGACCTCCCGCAGGTCCACTATGTACACATACAAATAGAAATGGATAAGGAGACCGGAGTAGCTTTACATTAACCAAAGTTCAGATATGGCAGCCTTTGATGTGCTTTTAGAGAAACAGAGCTCTGAAAACTCTTCCCTGCAGGTGTGGCGAGGAAGGGAAAGCTCAGAGAGCAGCTGTGCAAGTTTGTTTTCATATTTCATACTCCAGTGTGCTTTGAAAACACTTTGAAGAGGCAGGGAGAAAGAGAGAGACTGTGGCCTGGGCACCTTGAGAATGTTATAGGGAGCTTGTGGACCAGGGATCATTGCTTTAAGGACATTGTGAACCATGTATAGCCCTAAGGACCAGGTGGTATGTTCATGGGTGATAGGGATGGTGTTGTCCCTTTAAAGTCTGATCAGCTTCGTGAAGATACAGCAGGTTTAGTTTCCCCTGCCTCTCCGCTTCCAACTATTCCACTCTTCTCCAGCCTGTTCACTTACTCTCCCACTTCAGCATTGCAGGATAAGCAGAAGGGATGGATTTGCAGGGAAAGCTAGACTTTTAAAATGCCTCCCTGCATTTTTAAAACAATACATGTTTGCAGAACCCTTTAAATCAAGGCAAAGGGACTGCCTCACTGCAGCTTTATTGCAAATATCCAAACTAGGCAGTTCTGTGATTGTGATCTGCTGTGCTTTTGTTTTTGTTTTAAAGCAGGCACTCAGATCAAACTTTTATTGCTTATGGTCAAAGGCCTTTGCAGAAATGCAGACAGGCTTAAAGGTCTACAAACAAATGATATTTGCAATTACAAATACTATAAATACAACATATATATATGAACACTGTAAATAAAAGCCAGAATCAAGGATAAAAGTACAACAAGGGTTTGGGAGGTGGGGAAACAAAGCAATAAAACAAAGGTTAAAAAAGCAATAAAACGAGTAACACAGCTAGCGTCAGATCAAGGCATCATCATGTGTTTTAATTGTGCTTAATTTGTGTTTTAATTGTTGTAACCTGCCATGGGATTTTAGGGTGAAGGAGGGGTAAACAGCAACAACAGGACAAAATGTAAGTGAATTGATGACCAAATTAATCTTTCACCAGTTTGGGTCCCTTCTAATATATTTTGTGGAGATGGAGTACACGAAAACAATGCAACAGAGTTGCACAATATTTTGTGGGGGCCCTGATCTAACTTGGGGCAGTCTTTTGACCTTGCAATTCCACTAAAATCACCCCAAATTACCCTGATACACCTCATTATTTGGCCCCAGAACAAATAAAAACTCTGTATTAGAGTAATGAAGAAAGATTAAGGAAATGGACCATGATGATGTTTTTAGGATGAACTTTGTGCTAAGAGATGAATTGTCACCTGGTGGACAGCACAATGATATGTAATCATGGCAGGCATTTAAACCATCATGATAGGAAGAAAAGAAAACATACCCTAATTGCACAATTAGGAGGGTAGCCCAGTTCTCTATGAACGATGCAAAACTGCAAAGAGACCTGTATCATGTTAAGGCACTTAGAAAGCTAAAAGGAAACAGATATTGGAAAGGGTGTGGTATCTTTCTCCTTGTCCAGATAATTGTGAGTCTTTAATCTGAAGGAGGTGGGGGATGAATTAATTGCTTGATTTAAATCAGACAGCACCATTTGCCATTAATTGGTCTTAAAACCTTTGGTCATGGATGAGCCATGCAGAATTGCCTAACCCCTTTCAGCTTTCCCTTTTTGATCCCCAATCTGCCCTCTTTTTCTTTCTTTTTAAACAGCTGGAGATTTATTTAATTCACACTAGGATACTGAGTTAGGCTCTTGCTCATCTTAGGGCTTATTCAAACTCACCTTCTGCCCCCCCTTTTTTACAGGCACAGGTCTGAGCTTTCCCTGCAAAAACTCACTCTTTAATGCTGAATCAAAACAAAGAACAATTCATATTTCTGTGGATTTCCATTTGCTCCAATTCAGTGGTAAAAGGGCGGATTTTCGTGGGCAAAAAAAAAAGCGCTCAGACCCAACGCTTTAAAGTACAAACCTCTGTCTAGAAATATGACACAATAGAAAGTCTGAAGGAGCCCTGAATGTCATCGGCCAGATATATATAATCAAATTTAAAAACTAGCTGTAGTTTCCCCCGAAAAACAATTCCTATAATGTTCCGTTGGCAATTGTCTGTTGGAAAAGCAACATCCAGCGAAGCTGAAGAACGATGGTGGTGCATGGTTCTGAAACGTAAATTTTTTGAATTCCAAAGGAAAATAAAGTGGTAGAATGTAAAAGATAGCTGATAACTGAAATTGAATTCACACCATTTAGATTAATGACAGAAGTGAAAGGTAAATCAGTGCAATGTTTTTTATCTGGCTGATGAACTGCACCAAAAAGAACAGCAGCTGTGGTTCCTCAAATGCCAGATTTATCTAAATTTCTCCAGTTGATCAATTAAACCATCAATAAGGCCCTCACTCTCCAATAATCTTTTGAGAGAGGGAGAGAAGCCTAGTTAGTGAAGTTTCAGTTTCCCCTTTGATCCTCAGTTTGCAACATATCGAAGCCAGTAGTACAAAATTCCTTGGCAAATTGCTGCCAACAAGACAGATCTTTGTAGCTGACTGGTTTCAAAATAAACACTTTTTATGCAGAGAGAGGCAGCTGGAGCCTTCACTAAATAACGAGGATGTATGGCACGAAAGAGGCTGCACACTCCAGCGGCACAAGGGATACGGCCTTTGGAGACTATGGGCAAAGCTGGGAGAAAATTCATACATTAACCGAGAATCAGCTCCTGGAGGGGGAAATCAGTTTCGCATGTGATGTGATCTCTTGACTTGCATCTGTTGATCTGAAACTGTGCGTATACAGCTTAAACACGTGTAGATGCTGTGTGCGCAAGTCTGATCATTTGCTTTTTGCGTTAATTAATAATCCATTGATCAATCCGTTTTGGAGGTCCGAGTTGTTGTTGCTGTTGTTTAGTTGTTTAGTCGTGTCTGACTCTTCGTGACCCCATGGACCAGAGCACACCAGGCATTCCTGTCTTCCACTGCCTCCCGCAGTTTGGTCAAACTCATGCTGGTAGCTTCGAGAACATTATCCAGCCATCTCATCCTCTGTCGTCCCCTTCTCCTTGTGCCCTCCATCTTTCTCAACATCAGGGTCTTTTCCAGGGAGTCTTCTCTTCTCATGAGGTGGCCAAAGTACTGGAGCCTCAGCTTCACGATCTGTCATTCCTGTGAGCACTCAGGGCTAATTTCCTTAAGAATGGATGCATTTGATCTTCTTGCAGTCCATGGGACTCTCAAGAGTCTCCTCCAGCACCATAATTCAAAAGCAGGAGGTCTGAGAGGGGTAGATAAATAGCTGAAGTTTCTATACATGGGGAGCTGTCTTTTCCTGAGTCATCAAGCTCAGAGCTTCTGTAAAAGGAGCTACCCATCAAATGAAAGTTATCTGAACTTTTGTAGTGCGCTAAGCTAGGATCACTGCTTTCTTTCTGCCTGGTATGTGAACAGGCCCCCTTTCTTCCCCCGACTCCCTGGCTGCCATTTCACAAAGGCATCTGGAAATAACAAGGAACAAGAGAGGAGGATTCTCCCCAGTTAAGGTGCTCTAAAATAATCACTGCTTCACTAACCCTATTGTACAGCTTACATGATATTATGGAGTGGAATGCAGCTCAGATTTTCAACAGCTTCACCGTGCAGCCTGGCTGCAAGCTGTGCACGTGGAATAATGCCACTGTATCTCATGGTTTCCTTATCCATCTGTACTGGATTGCATGTGTAGCACTGTGATCTCTGACACTGACTGCTGAGCTGATGGACTGTTTGCAAACGTTTTGTGACTTTGCAACTGCTCTGGGAATACCAGCTCTCCACCCCAAGAGTTCTCAGTCCAGCTTCTGTATGGGAACGGAATATGGTTTGATTTGAGGTTAATACTCTAGATAAGCCATAGGGATAGGCTTGAGTCTTTTGGTGAGGAAGGCTGAGGTCAAGGAAACGGAATGAGAATCATCCCAGAAGGTTCAAGGAAGTGGGATGTGGCAATCTGAGAGGCAAGTAAGTAGAGGAAGCAGGAGAAAGAGGATTAGGGAGACAAGGAATTGAGGAAAGGAGGACATAATCAGAAAGGCTACTTTCACAGGAACCTCTAAGACCAAATGCAGTAAAATGGGGAAGGGGCAAAATTTCACCGATTGCTATGAATTCTGAGCTAGTCTCTTGGGCTCGCTTTTATTACTCAAATTTGCACCATGCGACTTCATCATTCCCTTTATTTACAATGTTCAGGCTGTGGGTGCCATTGCTAAAATACAAGGTAGCCACTTACCCAAGGCCTAAAAAGAGGCACTGGAGCACAGTGGCGTAGCGTGGGTTGTCAGCACCCGGGGCAAGGCAAGTAATTTGCACCCCCTAACCCGTGGATTTGCGCCCCCTAACCCGTGGATTTGCGCCCCCTAACCCGTGGATTTGCGCCCCCTAACCCTAACCCCCAGATGTTGCGCCCGGTGCGGTCGGCCCCCCCTGCACCCCCCACGCTACACCACTGCTGGAGCATCCAAAAAGAGGACAAATATGCACATGCCAATTTAGCCGTACACATGCAAATTTAAAAATAATTACCAGAAAGTAAATTTCACAGATGACAGGCCAGTTCATTTTACATCCAGATCACCCCAAATAATGAATTTATTAATATGGACTTCACCCAATTGATTTCCCATCCAGATCACGCACCCCAAATTAGTTGTTCTCCCATGACTTTACTTGCAATTAATTTATCAACCCATTACTGCTGCTCCAAAATAATTCAATTAATCACATCCATTCATCAATCATCAATGTATTCCTTAAATTAAAATTATAAAATGAAAAGGATGCCTAGGTATATAACTCTATTGTAGTGTGTGTGTGTGTGTGGAAAGCTGTGAGACAAGGTAGCTGTCTGGTAGTGGTTGTCTTCTCCTTCTCCTTCAATTGGTTGGCCAGATGGAATGCTCTGTTGTTTCTATATACCAGGTACATTGTGCAGAAAAAGAAATGTCTTGTATATTCCTTGTATAGAAATTGCTGCCCCCTGTGGCCGAGGTGGGATACTGCACCAGCTGTCCTTTCAATCGTTCTCAAGCTGTTTCACCTGGGGCGAATGCGTCCTTGATCCTCTGACTTCCCTGCGTGGAGGACGGAGAGATGGGTGTATGGAAATATAGAAACCTCTGGCTATTGCATGGTTGGAAAGTGGTCAACTGTGTTCCATTTCTGCCCCTGGCACCATCCAGTTTTGCTTCTTGGCACAGCTACCACTGACATTGTTGTTGTTTAGTCGTGTCCGCCTCTTCGTGACCCCATGGACCAGAGCACGCCAGGCACTCCTGTCTTCCACTGCCTCCCGCAGTTTGGTCAAACTCATGCTGGTAGCTTCGAGAACACTGTCCAACCATCTCGTCCTCTGTTGTCCCCTTCTCCTTGTGCCCTCCATCTTTCCCAACATCAGGGTCTTTTCCAGGGAGTCTTCTCTTCTCATAAGGTGGCCAAAGTATTGGAGCCTCAGCTTCAGGATCTGTCCTTCCAGTGAGCACTCAGGGCTGATTTCCTTCCGAATGGATCGGTTTGATCTTCTTGCAGTCCGTGGGACTCTCAAGAGTCTCCTCCAGCACCATAATTCAAAAGCATCAATTCTTTGGCAATCAGCCTTCTTTATGGTCCAGCTCTCACTTCCACACATCACTACTGGGAAAACCACTGACATACAGTCCCCCAAAGGCTCTCTATGAGGCCCTGTGGCCCTATGTGAACCCCCTTCCCCTTCGAGGATCCAGATTATTGGAATTTTCACTGGATGTGTAGGAAAGGGGAAAACTGGCATGGACAGGGCTGGAAGTGCTGAATTGCCTGATATGAAAGAGGGCACCTGGGCATCTTAAAGGTCAAATCATGCACAGGAGAAAGTTACTGCTGAACTTTGGGGGATGCTATGTTTTACTGAGAGACATCACCTTGCCAAAAAAGGTCCGTATAGTAAAAGCTATGGTTTTCCCAGTCGTGATGAATGGAAGTGAGAGCTGGACCAGAAAGAAGGCTGATCGCCGAAGAATTGATGCTTTTGAATTATGGTGCTGGAGGAGACTCTTGAGAGTCTTATGGACTGCAAGAAGATCAAACGGATCCATTCTGAAGGCAATCAGCCCTGAGTGCTCACTGGAAGGACAGGTCCTGAAGCTGAGGCTCCAATACTTTGGCCACCTCATGAGAAGAGAAGACTCCCTGGAAAAGACCCTGATGCTGGGAAAGATGGAGGGCACAAGGAGAAGGGGACGACAGAGGACGAGATGGTTGGACAGTTTTCTCGGAGCTACCAGTATGAGCTTGACCAAACTGCGGGAGGCAGTGGAAGACAGGAGTGCCTGGCATGCTCTGGTCCATGGGGTCACGAAGAGTTGGACACGACTAAATGACTAAACAACAACAACATGGCTTACTGAAAACCAAAACCATCTAGAGAACAATTAAGGAGGAAGGGAAAGTAAACTCTCAACACCCCAGTGTTACAACTGAGTGTGCAGAGTGGCCAGTGGGGTGGAACAGAAAACTGGGGGTGGGATGGAGTGGTTAGACTCCTGAACAACAGCATTCTGTGTTGGAACATCATAGATATCCTGTTATTATTCTTTCACTCATACTGTCATGAAGTGACATGTACTGCTGGCTTTTGTAGCGTTTAATTCACAAAGAAGAAAGAACACATGATCCGAGTTACTTTCTTCTTTTTAAGAACACATATAGCCAGTGATTGATTGCCAGTCTAAGTGAAGTTTTCTATGAACTGAATCTCCAGACTTCATTTTAAATAAGAAACATAAGAGTCGTACGGCACGCTCTTCTCTTTCTCTCAAGTCACTGCTTTTACTTTACTGGCATCAGCACATTTTCTCCGGCAGTATTTCTTTCTGTTTTCAATTTTGGTTTGTCTCAATAAAGATGAAGCAATAACCTGATTTTTAGTACTGTAAACTGTACAAAATTAAGTCTTTAATGCGTATTCTGGATGTAGATAACCTCGGATAGGTATCTCAAGTGGATTTAAAAAAGAGAGATGAGAGGAAGAAGTAGATTTATGCAAACTGCTTGTACGTGTAAAATATGGGAAGATTAAAGTTCAGGACCAGATAAGCCTAGGATTAATTCTCAAAGTTGATCAGATCACAAGGACGCTTTTTGTTTTGTTTTGGACTCATATTTTGGAATATGTGGTTGCCAAGTTCCTGTTTCAGATGATAGTCCTGGTAATATGCAGACTTTCCCATTTAAGCAAATATTGCCAACTGGCCGGACTGCCTGCACGTGTCTTTGTATGTGTCCTAATAGATTATGTATACTCAGATGGCAGGCGCAACAACTGGCAAGGCTGTTATATGCTTAAAAATGAGACTTTCTTAAACTACAAGACGGTATCGCCTACTGACAGTCTTCTATGTGGTCTTGCTATTTGAATTCTGATTAGCTCCTCAGTATACGAGTCAGTCATTACAGAGTATTTGCTTAACAGCACTCTGTTTTACATAAACATCCATCACGATGTGGATGGTCTTAGGCCAACTCAGCGCCAGATTTAGGTCAATGCAGGTGGCTCCCTTGCCGAGGGGGCACAAAATTGAGAAGATCTCTACTTGAGAAGATTGATTTTGGGTACCAAAATCTGGCTTCACACAGGACACCCTAGTATGAACTATTACCACAGTCTGCCCCTGGCCAACTTTGCTACCAGGGGGAGGCTGCCTGGAACTGCAGATGCGCAAGCACAGTACATTAATGGGTGTTGACTTGCCACTGATCACCACCATGTTGATTTTCCTCTCCCTACGCGGGTGGCACTGTGGTCTAAACCACAGAGCCTAGGGTTTGCCGATCAGAAGGTTGGTGGTTCGAATCCGCGTGACAGGGTGAACTCCTGTTGTTCAGTCCCAGCTCCTGCCAACCTAGCAGTTCGAAAGCACGTCAAAGTGCAAGTAGATAAATAGGTACCGCTGCAGCGGGAAAGTAAACGGCGTTTCTATGTGCTGCTCTGGTTCACCAGAAGCGGCTTAGTCATGCTGGCCACATGACCCAGAAAAACTGTCTGTGGACAAACGCTGGCTCCCTTGGCCAGTAAAGCGAGATGAGCACTGCAACCCCAGAGTCGTCCGCGACTGGACCTAACTGTCAGGGGTCCCTTTACCTTTTTACCCCCCCACCTTTCCACAAGCTACAGGCTTGTAATATTGACAGACGTGTGTTCATTTGATTTCAAATATATTAGAGATATATTAGAGAATTTACAAGTGTACACATTTTGTTTTTGTTGTACTAAATCATGTATATCATGCAATAAGAATTGCAGTGCTATCTAGTATGCTGGTCTTCGTGTTGCTTGTATTGTTTGTTGTGTTAAGTTTGCAACACAGGGGTTTGTTGTTCTGTATTGTAGTTTGTTGTGGCAGCACTGGAAACAAACAGTGTGATAATGACTGACCCATTTGGTCATTCCCTGCACATCAATGGCTTGCCACCTTGAGCATCGCATCTATCCCAGTTCAAGCATTCTGTGGATTTCACCTAAAGTGGCTGCCACTTGTTGAGCTCTTTGAACAGGAAATCGCAGTTTGGCATTCCTAGTCTTTAGTGTGCAGGAAGCTAGACGCTCTAAGCCATTCTCTGAAAGGAAGATAATTCTGAATGAAACTCCGGAATGAAGCCAAGAAGAGCAGCAGTCAATTGGAGGAAGCACTACTAGTCTAAGTAGACCAATGATCTGACTCAGTATGAATCAGCTTCATCAACTGTTCATATAAACCATTTGAAATGAGGTTAGATTGGGGGGGGGTAATAGATCAATGGGAAACTGCCTGATAAGGTTCATTGTCAATATGAATCCTTCTGAATTAATGGCAAAGCTGCCCACTGACTCCTTTTTGGCATTTCCGAACGTCGTGATTAAATTCCGGAAGGTGACCTACATCAAAAAGTTGCATTTCATATTTTGCTTAACTGTGATACCTCTGGAAAAGTTTCTCTTTGTGACAGCTGTTGTAGAGGAGGAATAGAATGTATAACGGTGCCTTTTTATTGAGGGACAAAAACCACTGAAGAGAAGATTTCATTAAGAAAACAGCAAAAAGCTTTGTCATTCCATGTTTGAAATGATGCCTAGCTGAGTCAGTGAAACAGACATCAAAGGTATACATATGGGTTACATTTGATATTTTTTCAACATTAAGAGAACTGTTACTAATTTTCAGCAACACTGAGATTTTTTTCATTCTCTCTCTCTCTCTCTCCCCTAGGTTCACATCCCAAATCCAAGTTGGCTATTTGAATATGTAACTGCATTATTACGATGAATAATCAGTGACGTTCTGGTGATTCAAAACTGGGAGGATTCTAGTGCCACGACAAATTTGAGGCAACTGGGTCTCCCCCCCACTTCTACAAAATTCATATTCTGAAATTATTACCCTCAAATGTGACGGATCTGATTGTTATTACTTTGTGATATATGTCACCTCCCACAGTTTCGTTTGGAGTAATCGTTATATTCCAGTGGAAGTTCCTATGAGATGATTGATCAATAGTGGCTTTAACTCATCCCTTCAACTGTGGTTGAACTTAGAACATCCCCAGGGTTCACGATTGTGAGGAGGTTTTTAAGCCCCCTTCAGACCCTACCACTCAATGCAAGACAGAAAAGAGAGAATGAAGTCCCCTAATTAATTTTCCCATGGATTATCGTCCCTTGCGGGGTGTGTGTGTGTGTTAAACCAGCTCACCATAAAGGATATTGTTGTGGACCTGATGATCTATAAAGTTATGGTGAAGGGAGAACACTGGGTAGGGTTGCCATATTTCAAGCAGTGAAAATACAGAAAGAAAGGTTGTTGAGGTTTTTTTTTTTAGGATGAAGTTGTTGAGGTGTCCCCCCCCCCCATACGCCCAGATTTCCCCAGACATTTATTTATTTATTTTATTTCCACCCGGGCACTGATTCCGACTACAGTATTCCGGATATGTCTGAGAAATTCTGGACATACGGCAACCCTAACACTAGGTTGTATCATGTGTTAATCATACTAAGTGTTGCGCCATGAAAATCTATGGATAGGCCTAAACTGGCTCTACACAATTTAACTGGATACAGTAACTCACCCAAGGCATGAAACTTGAAAGAGCTGAAAAGGTATTGCTTTTAATTATCTAATTCCTGAAAACAGGCATATATTAAGCATATAAAAATCACACTATCCTGTCCAAAAGAAAATGGTTTCTGTTGTGCTGTGGTTCTTTGCGGCGGTCTACTTTGGGGTCTAGCAAAAGCTCTATCTTGCTGGATCAAGCCCAAGGCCCATCTGGTTTGTCACCCTCTTCCCACAGCGTCCAATGAAATGCCATTTGAAAAGGCCCTCAGAAAGGAGCTCAACTTGTCAGGGCCCTCACACCTAGTATTGGTACCAGTTTGACCTTTTGTGGTTCTTTCCCGTTTCTTTATCTGAAAAGAAAACACAAGCAGTACTGCCTGTCAGGCAGGGGAAGTAGAGAGACATACATTTTTGTAGGATAAAGTTCTGGAAGAACCTAAGAGCATGCTGCAGAACTTCTAAACTTGCTTCTAGGACTATAATTAACAACACCATCAGGTTCCACATGATATGTGAATTGGTTTCCTCAGGCAACTTTCCTTTTCAAAGTGCTAACTCTATCCCAATATGTTGCATGTCCAGAAATGTGCCTCCAGTTTATGCGCTGGAGAGTATCGAACCAAATTACCAAGACTATGTGGGAATATGAGGCAAAGTACAAAGATAAATATTTCATGGTGTCTTCAGGAGCATTTGCCACAACTCCTCTGTTTCCTACCACCTTTCCTGCAGTACTTTTGTACCTTCAGACTATTCTATGCATCCCACTTGCAGAATTATCCTCCCTAATGTCCCTTAACATATGCCAGTTCCAAATGGCACACTGAATTCCAAGTCCCCAGATGCCTGCATCTCATTTCTTGACTGACACTGACTTCGGCAGGAGCTTTCAGAAGCTCAGCTGCTGGGTTTTTTTTGGTCAATCTGAGAAAACTCTCACACAAAAAACCAGTGGCAATAAAGAAGAAGAAGAAGAAGAAGAAGAAGAAGAAGAAGAAGAAGAAGAGTTTGGATTTGATATCCCGCCTTTCACTCCCTTTAAGGAGTCTCAAAGCAGCTAACATTCTCCTTTCCCTTCCACCCCCACAACAAACACTTTGTGAGGTGAGTGAGGCTGAGAGACTTCAGAGAAGTGTGACTGGCCCAAGGTCACCCAGCAGCTGCATGTGGAGGAGCGGAGACGCGAACC